CTTTTAGTTTTTGTTTTAAAAGGGAATTGATAAAAAAAAAAGAAATAAGAATAAAATATATAAAAAATTAATTAAATTGCTTGTTCTAATTTTTAGCTTTCATGTGCATAATTTATTTGCTTCGTGTTGTATCGATATAAAATTATCAAAGAAAATGGGGAATTACAAAAACCAAACTTGCTGCAAAAGTTCACTTATATGTTGGGAATAATTGAAAAAGTTCAAGTTATCGATAATCTCTATTTTTCTCACAAAAAAAGTCAAAACCTTAAAACTTTGAAACCTTAAAATCATAAAACTTTAAAATCAAAACCTTAAGCCTTTAAAACCCTAAATCTTAAAATCTCAAAACCCTAAAGCCCAAAAACCCTAAAACCCTCAAAATACTCAAAACCCTAAAACTTCAAAACCCTTAAAACCCTAAGGCCTAAACTTTCAAAACCCTAAATCCTAAAACTCAAAACCCAAAAACCCTAAACTCTAAAACCTTGAAATCCCGAAACTAAAACCCTAAAGCTTTGAAACCTTAAAACGAGACCCTAAATCTTAAAAATTTACCAAGACCCTAAATTCAACCTAACCCGTAAATTCGAATTGCAATCCCAAATTATCACTCGAAAATCATTCAAACCTTAAAGTCTCGACCTAAACTCATACCCAAAACCATCCTAAAATTCTAAAGATATGCCCTAAAAACCTCATGTAAAGTAATTATTCTTCTGAATATCACTTAGAAGATGTGTATTTATGAAATTTTATTTCATTAAGTCTTTTTATATGAGTCCTTAACCCATAATAATAATGATATTAAATAAAAAAAATAAAAAAATGAGATTTTAAATATGAATCGTTGTATCTAAACTCTACCAAGAAGTTAAAAAGCTCGGGTGGTCTTATTATATTTAAGAACCTAATTTTAAAATGGCATTTCATCCTCATGCATATCATCCATTAGCATATACGTATTTATTTATTATTACTTGCATTCATTCAGGTGTTTATGCCTTTTACTATCATTTTTAATTAATTGTAGAACCATTAGTTTTTTTTTTTTACGTAAATTTTTTTTATGAAAAATATTATTAAAAAAACCTAGATTTTTTAATAAAACTAAATTAACATTCTAAGAAAAATAATTTTTAGTACTTTACCTAGATATTGAAGAGACACCAATAATTATCATCTGTAAAAAATATTATTTTTACTTTTAAATAATGTTATAATAAATCTTAGGTGAAAAGAACTATATGTAAATTTTGTTAGATATTAGAGGATTTTAAGGTAATTTTTTAAGTTAAATATTTTTTGCAATATTCCTAAATAAAGGACTAACACCATTGATTTTCTTTTTCAAAAAATGAAGGATATTTTTATTAAATTTCAAATTGAAACTATTTTATCCAACCCCGAATATAAGGCATGATCAACTAGTACTAATTTTCATAGGCGCTATAAAGGTGTTAATCTTTTCCATGTATAACCAACTCTCAAATCCACTTTTGTTTTCGCAAACTCAAATTATCTTTTTGATTAATTTTAAACCCACTTTATTGCTTTATTAAAAAAATAAAATTTTAGGTGGTCAATCATACCCTAAAAAAGATTGGTGACAACTCCCCTTATTTTCTTCGATTTTAAAATCTTTTCATCTAATGGTTCCAAAATCATTATGATACTATGTAGTTAAGAGTTTCCCCACGAGCCAGAAAGCCTTCAAAGGATTGCATTCTTTTGTCAATGAGTTTTAGCTTTGACCAGTTTTTTTCCAACTCTTCTACCATTACCAAGTTGCACTCCTCACCATTTTCACTAGACTCTTCCTACTAAATCAAAGTCTACCCTACTAAATTGAAACTGGGAACTCTTGTATACTAACAAGACTTTGAAAAACTCTTTTTACAAAACCTTAGGGTTCAAAGAAACTCCCTTGCATTAGCATTATTTACATGTCTATCTTTATTAATATTTTTTAATTCAATTCCTAATAAGTAAAACCTTTTAATATCCTTCCCAATCAAAATATTTCTTTTTTTGTCCAAAATGACATGTGCCAAGTGATGATTCGCTTAAGGATTCTTTTAACAGTAAGTTATTAATTAATTATAAATATTGTATTGATTTATATGTTTGTTTAATAATTATTAGAAAATATTTAACATTTCACTATTTTATTTTTATATATTGGATGATGTAATGTATATTTTTACATATAATTTTAGATTAAAAAGTAAAGATGTTTTCCATTTTATAAATTACATCCATCCTTATGTTCAAATTTAAGATATTCAAGAAATCTGAGTCTCAAATTTTAACCATGTATATTGCCTCTTGAAATGTATGCATGTGTATCATATTATTAAATAAACCTTCCAAACTAAAGGTGTTCATAGGTTATGTTAGGCTTATACTTGATATTAATAATTTATATGCTTGTTCAAATTCGATTTGACCTTAACTTTCAAGTTTCAAAATTTTTTTTAAATTCGACCTAAATAAAAAAAATAAATCCTAAACCCATCCATTAAACTTAATTTACAAAATAAAAAAAGTGTTATTAAATTAAGTTTAATGAAATTATATTTAATTCACATATATAAAAAAAATAAAAATTACATAAAAATAAAAAATTTAATAAAATACATATAATTTTTATTTTATTTTTTTATATAGGTGAATTAATTTAATATAATTCACATAAATAAAAATAAAAAATTTACATATATGTGAATTTGGGTCGAGCCGGTTAAGCTCGGACTTTAAATATTTTGTCAAAGATCGGTCCAAAATTTAAACAAATTTAAAAATTGTGCCCAAACTCTTTTAGTAAGTTTTAATTTTTTTATTCAAATTTTCTTAAAATTTAGGCGGGCCTTCAGACTGAGTGGGTAACCCAATTCTTGAGTAGATTTATTTTCAATTAGTTAATACATATATTGCCTATATATTTCATTTTCAAGTAAGGTTGGCAACGAGTCGAGTCGGGGTAGGTTTTTGCTTACCTCGAACCCGACCTGACTTTATAATTATAAACTTGAACCCAATCCGACCTGAAATTAATAAAATATTATTTTTAAATATAATTATATATATATATAATAATTAAAAAATAATTCTTAATATAATATCGAGTCTGGTTTACCTAAAATCCGAATTGACCTGATCTCGATTTTTTCTTAATAATACTTGACTCGAAATCCTATTTAAAAAAAAATTGACCTTATAAGGTCGAGTCGGGTCGAACCCGTCGGGCTCGAGTTAGGCTGCCAACTTTATTTTCAAGCTAAAATAGCTTCCACTATAAAATGGAATAAATCCAATTAGTGATATTATTAGGGATGAGAAAAAAATTGAAGAAATAAAAAATCAATTTAAAATTGAAATATTCAGTTCATTTGGATTTTTTTTTCTTATTTGATTTAAATTAAGTTTAAATATTAAATGTATATATTAGGTTTATATCAAATTTTTTATCAGAAAGTGAAAAATAAAAAAAAATTGAATCAAATTATATATTTTTATTAATTATATATATTTTAAATTTTTATAAATTTAAAAAATTATTTTATATCTAAATATATTTAAATATATTAAAATTTTATATTAAAATAATATATAAAAAATAGATTTTAAAACCTAATAAACTAAATCAAATTAATAAAATTTAATTTAGATAAAATGAAAAGTCAATTCGAATTTGAATTAAAATTTAAAAATATATAATATTATGCATTATCTAAGAAAATTAAATTAAATTAAATCTGATTCAAATTATTATCCCCCTAAATGCTACTTATAACTTAAAATAAGCTTATTCTCCATTTGACATTAGTTTAGAAAGAGGGGATGCTGGCTTTTTTAACCTCAAATAGTTTGCATTTTTTATAACTAGGGAAATGTTGAAAATACTCGCATTTTCAGGTATTGATTGTAAAATAAATTATTCTTTTGGAATCTATTGTAGGTCATATTCAAGCATTCATGTTCTATTTTTTTTTCTTTTTTGTTTCAGCATAATGGCATTCATGTTCTACTATTTATGTGATGGCAAACCTGAATTTTTTTTTTAAAGACCCTGAATCAATTGGAAAACACGTGTAATTTTATTACAAAGAATTAATCTCATAAAAGATTTTTAAATTATAATAAAATATATCTATTATTACAAATAATGTATTCATTCTCAAGCTACAATCCAAGCAAAAGGACAATTATGCAACGATCAAATGTTTTCACCGTGTCAATGATCCAAATGGGTGCTGGGTGTAGTTAGAGGTGACAACCACACCCCAATGTACCAATTAAGCATTCAAATGTAGCCTTATTTTTACCCATATTGTTAAATGCTCAATTATAGATATAATATTTGTGTTTTTTTAATTAAAGAAATTATCTTTAATTTAATTTAATCTAGAAATAAATATTTTCTACTGGAGTTGAGAACCAACAAGTGAGACAGTATGGTGACTGGATGCGTGCATCACCACTGAAAGCCAAAATTAAAGGAATGGGAAGAACGTCCACCATGTATAACATACCAGCTCGATGTGATGATGGGCCACGTGACAAGGGGGAGCATGACAGGCTGGGGATTTGTAGCAGCCAATTGCTAGGGCCGACACGTGAAGGGAAAATGAAGGAGAAACTATACATGGAAAATGGAAGAATTTTGGACGATGGGAAAAAATCAAGGGCAAGAAGCAAGGATAAAGGCGAATTGGAAGGGATTGAAAATTATCTTTTCAATGACGCAATCTTCAAGAATTATTAGGGGAAAAAAATAAGGAAAAAACATTTACCGATAAGGGGGCCCACACGAAGATTGCAGCTACGACCAACGTGAGTACCGAGCTTGGTAAGTTTAATGACAGACCAACTGAACCAAGGGTCTAGTTAGATAAGGAAAAAGGTATGAGGTGGATCAAAGGCCTAAAGAAGCAGTTTATCACGTGGACAAGACATCAAATGTTGTAGAACAGGGGGTAAGTAGCATTGAATGGACAATGGAAAGAAAAACAGATCAAAAGAATGAAGGAAAGCATAAGCGGAAGAAGCTAGCAAGGCATAATCCAAATGGGCAAACAGAAAGAAAATGTGAAACTGGTAAAAGAAAAATGGAGAATGGGCAGGAAGCAGTGATTATAAAGTTTGAAAACCATGCAATCACGCTTCGAAATAAATGCTGAGGGTAGAAGTGGAGGGCTTGCATTGTTATGGAAAGAAGAGGTTTCACTAACACTTCGAAACTTCTCAAATAATCACATCGACTTGGAGGTTACTGAGCCAAAGGAAGCAGAAAAATGGAGATTCACGGGATTTTATGGAGAACCAGACAATAAGAGGAGACATGAGTCATGGTTACTGCTAAAGGATTAAGCGAGGAATAGTAATTTACCGTGGCTTTGCATTGGAGACTTTAATGAAATCATGTGGGCTCATGAAAAAGACGGTGGTCGTGAACGACGAGAAACCCAAATGCATGCATTCAGGGAAGCATATTAGAGGACTGTGGGCTTGAGGACATTGGTTTTACCGGTGCATGGTTTACATGGGAAAAAGGTAGGACAGTTTCAAACACCATAAAGGAACAACTTGACCGAGGGGTTGCCACTGAAACTTGGAGGGACCAATTTCCACTTGTGGAAGTGAAGCACTTGCTGTCGCATATTTCTGATCACTACCCAATTGTGGCCATTATGGATGGAAGGAAATCCACACAGCAGAGAATAAAAAGAAAGAAGTTCCGCTTCGGGGCAATGTGGGTGCAGGAACCGGAATGCAAAAAATTGGTGGAGGATGTGTGGAGTGATGGGACCATGGCCGTCCTGACCGAAAAGGTCACCTATGTAGAAGCAAGTTTGAGCATGTGGCATGCAAGGAAATTCAAGGGCATGAGGTGTCGTATTAATGAGTTGAAAGGGAAGTTCCATGAGCTACGTACGCAGAGCATTAATGATAGCTTACTAGAAGCAGAAAGATGCATGAAAGAGGAATTGAATGAACTAATGGAAAATAGGAATTATTTTGGATGCAAAGATCAAGAATTAATTGGTTAAGGCACACGGATAAGAATAAAACCTTTTTTCCATGCTCAGGCTTCTAAAAGGAAAAAAAGAAATTGCATAAGTAGGATTAAAAATGAGGATGGAGAGCACACCCATGAAGAACATGAAATAATGGACATTGTCACTGGCTACTTTAAGAACCTATTTCAATCATAAAGAACAAACCATTTTGAAGATGTTCTTGAGGCAATCGAATCCCGAATATCGGATGAGATGAATAGCCAACTTCTGTCAGAATTTAAGGAGGAAGAAATTCAAATGGCCATCAAACAAATGCACCCCACTAAAGCTCCCGGACCTGACGGTATGCTTGCTATTTTTTACCAAAAATTTTAGAACATTGTGGGTAGGAATGTCACCAAATATTGCCTTGATTGTCAGAATGGTAGGTCTAATATTGAGGACATTAACAAAACCCATATAGTACTTATTCCTAAAGTGAAAGACCCAGAGTTAGTAACCCAATTTAGACCCATCAGCTTGTGCAATGTTATGTAAAAAATAGTAGCAAAAGTCGTATTGAACAGGCTAAAAACCGTCATTCTTAGTTGCATTAACGAACCTTAGTGTGCTTTCATTCCAAACCGGTTAATCTCTGATAATGTAATTATTGCTTATAAAATGGTTCATACTTTATAAAGAAAAAAGGGAGGCAGAGATGGTTTTTATGCTCTTAAGATGGATATGAGCAAGGCATATGATCGGGTAGAGTGGAATATTTTGGAGCGCATCATGGGTAGACTAGGTTTTCATGCTAGATGGATTAATTTAGTTATGCGCTGTGTAACATCAGTTTCATATTCTTTGGTGATTAATGGTTGCATTACTGACAGTTTCAAACCAGAAAGAGGTCTTCGCCAAAGAGATCCTCTTTCCCCCTATTTATTCCTGTTTTGCACTGAAGGTCTTTCAGATCTCCTTTCAAAGGCCCAAGAGTCAAGGTTGATATATGATTTGCAAGCTCGCAGAAATGGTTCGAAAGCTACTCACTTATTCTTCGCTGATAACAGTCTACTATTTGTTAAAGTAAAATAGGAAAAAAAGAGAGATGGTGGAACACGTTTTAAAGAGATACGAAGATAGCTCCAGACAATGCATCAACTTTGATAAATCGACCATATTTTTTAGCAAAAATGTTCCAAAAAACCAAGGCAGAAAATCAAGGAGATTCTCAACATTGACATCACCAGCAGACCAGAAAAATACCTGGGATTACCTTCGCTGGTTGGAAAAAATCGCAGGTGGGCCTTTAGGGAAATAAAAGACAAGGTTAGGATAAGATTGAGTAGATGAAGCAACAGGACCCTATCTTAAGAAGGAAAGGAGATTTTTTTCAAGGTAGTGATACAAGCAATACCGAAATATACTATAACCTACTTCATGCTACCAAAGGCTCTGTGCAATGACCTGAATGGCATGATAAGGAGTTTTTGGTGGAAACAAATTAAAAACAGGAAAGGAATCCATTGGATCAACTGGGACAACATGTGCAAATTGAAAAATGTAGGGGGTATGGGCTTTCAGAATATGCAAATATTCAACATTGCGTTACTAGCAAAACAATGGTGGATATATTACTCCACAACACCAATACCCTGGCTTATGCGATTTTGAAAACAAAATACTTTCCATGCAATTCCATACTAGATTGTGATCTGGGTAAAAATCCCTCGCTAACCTGGAGAAGCATATGGGCTTCCTTGGCCATCATTAGACAAGGCACATGGTGGAGAATTGGAAATGGTCATTCAGTTAAGATCTGAAAGGATAAATGTGGCGAGCTCACTAGATTTTATACCTCAGTCAAACAGAAGAAGGGGAGCAAATGACAGCTTGGTTAAAGAGTTGATCGACGAACGGGCCAAGCAATGAAAAGTGCAAGTTCTCCAGGATCTGTTTTTGGCTGAAGAAGCTTTATCCATAAGCATGATTCCAGTTAAGTAGGACGAGAGCAAAAGACACGCTAGTATGGCACTATGATAGAGGAGCATCTACACAGTGAAGAGTGGATACAAATATTTATGTCAGGATAATTAAACAAAGACAGGACTGAACGGTGAAGGATAATTTGGTTAATTTTTTAAATTAATATATTTTATTTAATTAACAAAAATAAAATAATATAATTTGATTAATTTAATTTTGAATAATTCGATTCAAAATTAATTAATTTGACAAAATAAATACTCCTAACCTATAAAGTGAGAAGCTCGTCTTAAGCTCAACTCAAATGTCATTACTCAAAATTCGAATCAAGTTTTAATTAAAATAAAATCGAATTATTTAAGTTTACTTGATTAAATTTATTTAAAAAATAAAAAAATTTTGATTTGTATACTCAATTTCAAATTTAATTATTATTGTTTGAATTGAATTCAAACATAAATTTATATATATATGTAAAAAGAAAAATAAAATTTTTTAATTGAAATAATAAAAAATATATTAAAATATTAAAATTTGATTAATCACAAACTATTTGAATTTGACATTAAAATATTTAAATTTAACTAATTTAATGAATTAAATTATTCAAACTTATTTTGACAATGATCTAATTAAATTTAAATTATATCAAAATTAATTAACTTACAATTACTGTGTATCATTTTACGCCACTGATTTTGATTATTTTTCAAGAGAGAGTGATTAAGTCGAATTTCTATTGCTAATCCCTAATTTAAGTGACAGTTAGCCACGCGCCTCATTGTCACTTCGGCCAATGGTCATCAAATTTTGTATTTTCGATTTCTCTTCGGAAGAGATCAGGTAAATCTCGATCGTTAATTTTCGTTCATCATTAAACCTTCTTTAAACCAATCAAAATCAAGGATCTGATCTCATTAGCTATTAGGATTCCACAAGGATTGTTCTACAAGCTTCACTAAGAAAATTAGGAGAATTACTTGCTCCATGGAGAAGATCTGATCAGTCAAATCAACCTTGACCCAGACGGTCGAGATCATTCCAAATATTTAAACCAAAGTGTTAATGGCTTTATACTAAAAAACCCTTCAGTTTAGTGCAGTTCCTATATAAAATATTATTAGGGGCAGAAATATAATTATTTTCGGTTAAGCGGATAGTCTTTCCCTCCATCGTCTTTCCATTTTCACTGGCAGAGACCCGACACTCCAGCTTCTTCTCCCTTCTTTTTTCCCCTAAAACCCCTAGAAATCTATCTTTACGGTATGATTTTGCGTGGTTTTCTCTTTTGGATCATCGTTGATCGTCAACCTTCGTGTTTTCTTTTTCTTGTTTCTTTGTTTGCTTGGATTTTTTTGGTTTATGCTTGTTGGAAAATACCACAATACCCACGCGCAGCAACCACACACAAAATAGTAAGCTCAAATCAAGAATAAGAACACACAAATATATTTGGTTTGGCTCAACTCAAAATGGCATACTCCAAACACAATCCACTATCAAATAAATCTTTACAATTGTAAGACTTTTAAAATGAGAAAAGTCTCTTAAAACTCCTTACTCAAAACTTAACCCAAAACCCAATTACACCCTTTAATAGCCTACTCACTTATCAAAACCCAATTACACCCTTTAATAGCCTACTCACTTAGCTATTCTCTTGGTGCCTAACTCTCTGGAGTTACTAAACTAAAATCAAAACATCTTATTTATAAGGGTGAAACCCTTTATACCTTTACTAAACTCCCGATGTAGGATACAAGATAAATTCAAACTTACTTAACTTTCGATGAACTTACTTAACTTTCGATGTGGGATTATGAGATTAAAGGCAAATCCCAACAAATCCTTCTTTGACTTGAATCTCCAAACACTTCAACAATATCTGCAAAGTTAACATGTTTACCTTTCTTTTTTTCTTTCATCACATGCAAAGCTAACATGCTTACCTTTCTTTTTTTCTTTCATCACAGGCATTCCAGCAACTGAGCCTCCATCAAACATGTACAAGTGATTGACCCTATTCCTTTGTAGAATCACACTATCATTCTTATACACTTTCAACCAATCATTACTACCATAAAATGTGTACCCCCGAGAAGCTAACTCACCCAAAGCAATCAAATTGTAGTGACAATTTGGTACATACCTTACATGACGAAGTGTCCTAATAACACCATTGTGAGATCTAAGGCGAACACTCCCAATGCCTTGAATCTGCACCTTTTCTTTGTTAGCAACCACAATATCCCCATACTTTTCATTCTCATTCAACTCCACAAAGCAGCTCCTATCATTGTAAACATGAACTGTAGCAGCTGAATCTAAAACCCACATTTATCACTTTTCAAAGTCTGGGTCTCATCCACACAAGTTGTCAAAACAATATCATCATCATCAGACACGATAGCAGCAGTATCACTCTTTTCTTCATCTGATTTCTTCTCATCATTCGCCCTTTTGAAAGCAGTCATATCCCTTCTCAGCTTCCTGCAGCGCACTTGGATATGTCCTTCTCACCGCAATAATAACATTCTACATCACTGTAATATCTGTCTCTTGACTTAGATCTCCATCTTGATCCATCAATCCTCTTTTGAGTCCTCCCTCTATCAAAATCTTCTACAGCTAGTGTACTCCCCTCAGGTGATGAGTTCTGAGCTCCCCATAAACCTTTCATTCTCACGCAATAGGACAGTCACATCATCCACTTCAAAGTAGACCTGCCTACCAACACAGTCTGAACTAAAGGCCTATAAGACTTGGGCAAAGATGACAACAAAATTAAAGTCTTCTCTTCATCTTTTAACTCATCAACAGAAATCGCTAACAATTGAGAAACCAATTTATTAAACTCATTCAGGTGATTATGAAGATTCATACATTCTTCCATCTTCAGAGAATACAAATCCATCTTTAAACATAATCTATTAGTCAACGACTTTGAAACATAAATACCTTCAAGCTTATCCCACAAACTCTTCGGAGTACTCTCAGTCAACACACTGTACTTTACTTCTGGAGCTAACGCCAATCTAATAGTACAACAGCCTTCTTCTGAATCCTATTCCAATTAGGATCAGACATTCCCTCAGGCTTACTACTCTCTAATGCTTGATCCAACCCTTGTTGTACTAACAGATCTTGAATTGTACTTTGCCATAACATAAAATTACTCTTTCCATCAAATAACGGAATCTCAAACTTAGGCATAGACATACCAGACATACATTCTTCAGACATCTTCAAACACTGTTTCACGATCTCTTGGGCCCACGAACCTTAAACCTCGAACCTTGAACCTCGCTCTGATACCACTTGTTTGAAAACACCACAGCTCTGATACCATTTGTTGGGGAACACCACAGCTTTGATACCATTTATTGGGCTAAAAGCCTCCAATCCAATCACACTAGCGAAAGCAAAATCAAACAATAATCAAACACACAAGAGATAATAATTTAACGTGATTCGGTCCAACTGACCTACATCCACGGATAAGAACCAATCCAATCACACCAGCGGAAGCGAAATCAAGCAATAAATCAAACACATAAGAGATAATAATTTAACGTGGTTCGGTCCAACTGACCTACATCCACGGATGAGAAACAAGATCCACTAGTTGTAGAGAATTACAAACATACATCATATCATCAACCCCACTCAACAATCAATACTCATAAGACACTCTCAATCTCCTCTAGTCCTATGAAGTATTCTCTACCCAAACAAATACAAACCCAAACTCTTGTGCACCTTTTCAACACAACCAAACACATACCCATATGTTTCCATACATCATACCTATGTGGACCCTCTCAATCTCCTCTAGTCCACTCACAAACAAACATACACACTCATAAGACGTAGAGCCCTAATACTCCTATGGAGTGTCTATCCCACAAAACCCTATAACTCTCTTACATCTTTTTCTCATACCTAACCCTATAAAGACTTCACCTATTTATAACCATACAAACTTGCCCATTAAGAATCTCTCTCCTCTTAGAATTCTTCTCCTGTAAGTCAAATTTACCTATTAAGAATCCCTTTCCTTTTAGAATTCTTCTCTTGCAAGTCAAACTTACCTATTAAGAACCCTCTTTCTCTTGGAATTCTTCTTTTGTAAGTCTTCTTGTCCATCAAGCAATATCTGACAAATCTCAAACAAATCTCCAACAAATCTCAAACAAATTTCTTATGATATTTGAGTCAATATTCCTAACAATCTCCACCTTGACTCAAATTCCATCAATCATCTGTCTCCATGCTAGACATGCTTGGCTCCACCTGCAATGGAAGTCTTACAATCATCTTCTCTTCTCTTGTGTCTTCACGCTTCATACAAACCAATCCTCAATCTTCAAAACTTGAACTCGAACTCTTCTCTTGAATTGAGCTCTTTTAAGCTTACTTCTTCCCATGTCTCAAACCAAGCTCTTCCCATATCTCGAACTGTCAACTCTTCCCATGTTTCGAACCATCGGCTCTTCCCACATCTTAAATCTTCAACTCTTCTCACATCTTGAATCTTTAACTCTTCTCACGTTTCAAACCTTCAGCTCTGATACCACTTGCTGGGAAATACCACAATACCCACGCGCAGCAACCACACACAAAATAGCAAGCTCAAATCAAGAATAAGAACACACAAATATATTTGGTTTGACCCAACTCAAAATGGCCTACTCCAAACACAATCCACTATCAAATAAATCTTTACAATTGTGAGACTTTTAGAATGAGAAAAGTCTCATAAAACTCCTTACTCAAAACTTAACCCAAAACCCAATTACACTCTTTAATAACCTACTCACTTAACTATTCTCTTGGTATCTAACTCTCTGGAGTTACTAAACTAAAATCAAAACATCTTATTTATAAGGGTGAAACCTTTTATATCTTTACTAAACTCCCGATGTGGGATACAAGACAAATTCAAACTTACTTAACTTTTAATGTGAGATTCTGAGATTTAAGATAAATTACAATAATGCTTTTTCTTTCTGTTTTAGAGTATTTCTTTTATGCCCATTTTTTAAGCTGCATTGTTTTCTGCTACTTTGATAATTGTTTTTTTTTTTGGTGTTTTTTATTTGTGTTTATCTTTTTTTATGGGTTTCCCTCAATCTTTCATTTTCTGCTTTAAATTTTACCTTTGTTTCTCTGTAGGCTATAAAGTGATTTTCTGTTTTATTTTCACTTTTCTGGTTAATCTGAAACTTTTTCTTTGTTTCATTTACTTTATTGGTTAATTTGAGATAATTTTTACAAAAAAAGATATATTTTGAACTATCGGTTTATCACTTTTTTTTTTTTTGAGGGATCGCTAAACCTATTACTATATTTTTTTTCTTTTTTTTATATTTTAATTCTATTTTGTTGTTCAAAAGTTAAACTCCTTCAGGAAGCTATTTTCTTCGACAATGCCGTTTGATTTTCGCTATTTTAAATCATCGTTAAAGTGATTTCGACTTTTTTTTTTGTTCTAAATTCCTTTTTCTAAAGATTTTAGAATGGTATTGTTAATCTGTACTAAAAAGAAACCAAAATATTCCATCAAAAGAATCTCTTAATCTGTTGTTATTGGATAAAATAAACTGTATTTCGTTAAACAAATCTCTGCTCTGTGTTGTCCTTGTTTCACCCCCTGCTGTCGAGTCTAGAGCAACTGAATGAGAGTGCTGCTAAGATGAATGCTAGATTTATTTGTTTGAGCATTTTTATCGTTTTTTTTTTCATTGAAGATATTTAATATTTTGAAAAAAAAAGTATTTTTCTTCTTAAATTCATCATTTGAATTTTTTTTGTTGTCTTGGTCTTTAACGGTTTTGTGTTCCCTTAAAAGATTTTCCATAAAAGTTTTTTTTTTTTTTTGAGATTTTTTTTTTTGGTTTTAGAAGAAAGTATGATTTTAGTTGTTTATTGATGGTCTATCTTGTAGTTCTATCTTTCTTTTTGGTTTTTCATCTTATCAGAATTGCTGGTGACATTTTACTAATCTGTGATGATATTTGAATTGGGAAAATCATTTGATGTTCATTTATATGATGTTCTTTGTTCAAAGTTCTCAGAATTATGATTTAAAGTAGCCTAATTAAGCTGGGGGAGAAGGGGTGAGGGAGGTGGCAAAAGCTCCTCTGCTTCACCCTGCCAAACTCAGTTTGGTATTATATTTACTGTCAGTTTCTTTTATTTGCCTTTCATAGATAAATATTCAAGCTTGTCTTTGGTTTCTATTAACAATGTTGCCTTCCTTTTCACAAAATTTCATTGCCTTGTCATAAAAAATTTTTTATATGATTTTATATTGGTCATCATCTGTATCTAATCTTATATGCTGTTTCTGAAATTTTGTAATCTTGGGCAACTAATCTCTCATATACAGTTTTTATTTACCATTTGTTTTCTATGTTTGTTTATACAGTTTCTTCTTTTTTTTTTTTTCATTTGAAGGAAGAATTTTATGCTGTGGATTTCTTACTAGAGAATGGATGACATTAATGTATTATATGGCAAGAAAGCAGAAGTTCCCATTATCTGTTTGAAGCCATTCATCGATTCAATGAAAGTGCTTACTTTAGAACATTGTGTTCTTGCGGAGATTCCCAAATGTCACCATCCCATAGGGTTTGTGTAGTATAATAAATTTTAGTTGTTTGCATGTTTACTATGTTTGGTAATTAGTGGTCTTACTTAACTATTAATGTAGTACTAATGTTGTTGTTGGTCAGTTACAAGATAGAGAAAGCAGGAGGTACTGAAGAAGCAGGTAAATCCCCATCTCTGCCCCCATCACCTTCAACAGTACCATCCAATATGAAGCCAGAGTGCATGAAGCCTCCCAAGTATTCTATTACCAGTAGACCTGGGGTTGGGACGAGTGGACAAAAAATATCCCTGCTCGCCAATCACTTCAAAGTTTCTGTCAATGCCACAGATGCAGTATTTTACCAGTATACCGTGGGTTTATTTTGTGTTTCCATTCTGTTTTTCTGGAAGTTCACTTTTAAGGATGAATGTTCTCTAACACACACTTGCAGGTTACAATTTCTTCAGAAGATAATACAGTTATTGAAAGCAAGGGAATTGGGAGAAAACTTGTTGATAAGCTTTACCAAACATACTCCTCCGAACAAGCTGGCAAAAGGTTTGCATATGATCGTGAGAAGAGTTTGTACAATGTGGGTCCTTTGCCACAGAACATGTTTGAATTTACCATAGTGCTAGAGGAGTCGTTTGCAAAACGGTATATTCATTTACACCTCTTTACTGATTTTAGCTTTTGAATATGTTAGAATCTAGATATTAAATTTGTTGTGGCAATCACTCACTGTCTGGTAGTGAAAGCAGGAGTCTTGATGGTGATGGGAGCCCTGTTACGACTGGTAAGCGGACAAAGCATTCTTTCCGGTCAAAGACTTACAACGTAGAACTAAGCTTTTCTGCTAAAATACCTTTGAAGTCAGTATCTCTTGCCTTCAAGGGAGTTGAGTCAGATAATCGCATTCAGGACACATTGAGAGTGCTTGACATCATTCTGAGGCAGCAAGCTGCTAACCGGTATTTAATTTTCTTTCCTATGATTTCATTTACTCTAAATATTAATCTTAACCATTTTCATCACTCCATATGTGTCTGTCTTGTGTTATCTGTTTGTATTGCTGGTCCTGTCTCATTTGAACCACTATGTTGAATTTTAGGGGGTGCCTTTTGGTGAGGCAGTCCTTCTTTCGAGACGATTCGAATAATTATGTTGATGTGGGAGGAGGGGTATTGGGCCTGCAGGGCTTCCATTCCAGTTTTCGTCCCACTCAAGGGGCCTTGTCTCTGAATATGGGTATATTTTATTCATTCTATCTAAACTTTGATCTCGTCATCACTTTGTTTTTTAACATTTCCATCTTTAAACCTTTGCTGCAGATGTATCTACTACAATGATTCTAAAGCCTGGACCAGTGTTTGATTTTCTAAAACTCAACCTGAATGTAAATGATGATAATTTCTGGCCAAAGGTAAGAAATGACTAAACATCAAAACCGTATTCTCCATTACTTGTTTTCTTGAAAATTAAACTTAGTGTAAATTTCTACAGGCCAAACGAATGTTGAAGAATATGAGGATTAAAACAATGCACCGTAATATGGAATTTAAAATAATTGGTCTGAGTGAGAAGCCCTGTGCTGAACAATAGTGTGTGCTCATTCTTGGAGACTCTCCTTTTCATAACTTCTACTTATTTTCTTTCTCCTGTCTCCATGAAAAAAATTATAATTCTGGTTTATTTCCGTCTTTTATTTCTCCTAGCTTCCCAATGAAAGTGAAAAATGGTGACTTTGGTGAGGGGCAGACTGTTTTGATCACAGTGTATGAGTATTTCACTAAACACTGTGGCATCGAACTTACATATTCTGCAAGCATGCCATGCCTTGATGTTGGTAAACCAAAACGGCCTAACTATTTACCACTAGAGTTCTGTCAATTTTTTATTCTTGATAGATAGTTCCGATTTAGTTCATTACATTCTACATAGTTATCACACATGTCTAAGATCCTGATGATTAATTTTTTTGGTGTTCTAGCTCTGTTCACTTGTTTCACTTCAGCGGTATACAAAAGCATTATCTTCTAATCAAAGAGCAACCCTGGTTGAAAGATCCAGGCAAAAGCCTCGGGATAGAATACGAACTCTGATTGATGTATGTTTCTTTGTCTTGTGGCCATATCCATATTTGTGTAATAGTGCCTTAACTGTCACAATTTTATACTTCATTGATCTGGCAGGTTGTGAGAAGCAACTGCTTGGATGATGATCCTGTACTGTCTGCATGTGGAATTTCCATTGAAAAGCAATTGACTGAAGTTGATGGCCGTGTGCTTGAGACCCCAAGGGTATGTATTATTACTTTATGTCAAGGAGAAAGAAAAAGAGCAAGAAATCCTACCCTACTTTTGAGGTGTTTAGTGGGTTCATTATAACGAGTTTTCTATTTTCTTTAACAGTTGAAGGTTGGTAATCATGAGGGTTGTATCCCACGAAATGGACGATGGAACTTTAAGAACAAGGTACATTGAGAGAGATTTTCTGTCTATCCTTTGTTTTTTATGTTACAGTTAATTTTTCTTTTGTCTCAATCTTAATTGATAGCAGCTCTGTGCTTCAGAGTTTGTTTTGTTTCTGTTTGCTTTCCTATAGCACTTGATTTAACAGTTTATGTTTATTTTTCTTTTTCCTTTGCAGAGACTTCTGGATCCAAAAAAAATTGAACGTTGGATTGTAGTCAACTTCTCTGCCCGCTGTGACATCAGTTGAATTTCAAGGGATCTTATCAGTTGTGCAAGAAACAAGGGCATTGTAGGTTATGCCATATGTTGACTGTTTTTAATTTTGATGCTATTTAACTTGGTTATTATAACTGTCTCACTTATTTAAATGTATCCATAAATGAAGGAAATGGAATGCCCTCACTCATTGATTGAGGAGGATCGACATGCTGTGCAAGCCAGCCCTGCTGCTAGAGTGGAAGTGATATTTGATCAGATTATATCCAAGCTTCCTGGCCCTCCCGACTTCATTCTATGTGTCTTGCCAGTGAGGGAGAAATCTGATATTTACGGTAAGGCTTTTCCTGTTGTTAAGATTCTTTTCTTATTTGATTATTCTACTGACATTTTCCATGCATTGTCAAGGACCTTGGAAGAAAAAATGTCTTTGTGATATTGGAATTGTTACACAATGCATTTGCCCTGGAAAAGTTAATGACCAATACCTCACAAATGTGCTCCTTAAGATCACTGCAAAGGTAAATCTTAAACCTAAAATCGTTTTAACTTTTATGTTAATCTACACCTTCAATGTACTATGATTGCTACCTCGTCTTTCTTATTTATAGCTTGGAGGAATCAATTCTTTGTTGGAAATAGAGCATCATCCCTTAAATCTCCCATTGATAAAAGATACTCCTACATTGATTTTGGGAATGGATGTCTCTCATGGCTCCCCTGGTCGATCAGATATCCCATCAATAGCTGCTGTAATTAATTTGTGATTTTTTTAAAAGCATTAGGACCATTCCCCTTAGTTTGGTGATGCCAAATGGTCAATTGTCGCTACTATATTCTACTGTAACTTTCAGGTTGTTGGTTCGCATTGTTGGCCTCTGATTTCAAGGTATAGAGCATCTGTGAGAACACAATCACTGAAGGTGGAGATGATTGATGCTTTATGTAGGCCTTCACCAAACGGAAATAATGATGATGGTATTATCAGGTAGTCTAGTAAAACCCTATCTAGAGCTTCGTGTATGGTGATTGCTCCTTTTTACCTTTAAGGGCTTTGATATGGATTATTGAGGTATAATTTTATGATAAAATATAATGTTTTGATTTTATTTTTTATAAACTTTGCTATTCTAGTGGTTCTGTCATAAACAAGATCAAGATGAATTTTTCAATCAATGAAATAATCAACTATTTTTACTACATCTCTGAAGTCATTTCTTTATTATTATATGTTATATATACTTATTTAATTTTGAATGCCAGAATGAATGGCATTACAATACATTAAAATGTAATTTCTGATGGTACTGGTATGTTGGCGATATCTTTTACTTATTACGATATTTGACACACCATTATTACTTATTTAATTTTTTTTATATGTTGAGTTGATGCCACCAGGAATGTTTGTCAATTTGGCTCTTTTAGTGCTGTAAAACTAAAATGATGGATATACTTTTGAGCTTAATGTAAATCCAAAATTGGTTTTATTTATTGTGTTGCAGGGAATTGCTTGTGGATTTCTATAAGACGAGCAATGGTCTCAAACCAAAACAAATTATTGTCTTCAGGCATGTGTACTCTTATTGTTGTGACTGTTCATTCATTTTGGGAGTTAGGTGGTTGGATTTCAAGTATCCTCAGACTTCCTAAAAAAATGAGAAAAAACTATGTGGTTCCTTTACTGGTTTTTTAAGCTTGTTCACTAGGTTCTGCAAAAAAGTTCCCATTTATTCTTTTATTTTTGTTTGTGCCGATTTATTTTGTATGCAAGAGGTTATATTGTTACTTGTTTCTTAAGATGTGAAACAAAAAAAGGAAATCATTGTTTCTTATTTATTGTATGAACCAGTCATATACACTTGCAATTCTGGTGGTTAAAGCTTGTCACTATGCCTTTCATTTTTCATTGCATCTAATACGTTGCTTTTGGATTTCCTTCCTTTTTCATTCTGATGTACTTTTATAACACTTCGTTGCTTAAATAATTGATTTTGGCAATTTTCGTAGAGATGGAGTAAGTGAATCTCAATTTAACCAAGTTTTAAACATTGAGTTGGACCAAATAATTAAGGTATGTTCTAGGACTCTAGCTTTTTTTTATCTCTATACCCACCACATCCGAGGGGAAGGGGAGGGGTGCAGTTCCAAATTCATTGATGTTTCTAAAGGGCAGTTAGAAGTTTTATGTTTTAGGGCCTTTGTCCTGCTTTCTTGTGCAGAATTTTTTTAGGTTTTCCAATTCCACTAAGAGGTGGTTCATGACTTTTTCCTTTTCTTGATGATTGTTAATTCTTAGATAGTTAAACTTCCCATTATGCAGGCATACCAGCATCTGGGCGAGGCTGATGTTCCCAAGTTCACAGTAATTGTTGCTCAGAAGAATCATCAAACTAAATTATTCCAAGCAAAAGCCCCTGAAAATGTTCCACCAGGTTTGTTGCTTCTGATATTTAATTTTCCTCTCTACTTTAACACTTTGTTAATTTATTCTCTCCTGCTCTCATCCCCGGGGACAGTTGTGGACACAAAAATTGTGCATCCAAGAAACTATGATTTCTACATGTGTGCTCGTGCTGGGATGATTGTAAGTTCTATTGTTACTAATACTATCAGTATTTTCTAATTTATCTATCTGGGTTGGCAATTAAAATATATGGTTGATATCCATTTGACGTTGTGAAAAATGTGGTAGTATTTCTTTCTTCTGAACAATATACATGTACATACATATCAGTTAGTTTTTACTATGCCTATTCTGTTAATGTTGTACCAACTTTTGGGGAAAAGTTGCTAACTCTTCATTGCATTGTTTCTCCTATACCAGGGAACATCTAGGCCAGCCCATTACCATGTCTTGCTTGATGAGATAGGTTTCTCTCCTAATGACTTGCAGCATCTTATCCACTCTTTGTCCTATGTGTAAGTTCTCAAGATCCATTTGCATATCTACCATTGAAGAAAGTACCAAACCTTTTCAACTGACTGTTTTCTTTCACTTTTTTACGTAAAGCAGATACCAAAGGAGCACAACTGCTATCTCAATTGGTAATTTCCCCATATCCCACCCTTGTTTCATGTTTAGCAAGACATCTGTATCAATTAGCTTGATCATCATTTTCATTACTATTATTATTATTATTATTATTATTGTTTTTTCATGATCTTGGTTTTTTTTCCCTCATTTCTTCTCCAGTGGCTCCTATTTGTTACGCCCACCTTGCTGCACAGCAGGTGGGACAATTTTTGAAGGAGGAACTTTCAGAAACATCTTCAGCACACATTACATCTGCAGGAAGTATCCCTGTTCAAGACCTTCCCAGGTTGAATCAGAAAGTGGCAGGCTCAATGTTCTTCTGTTGAGGAGCTACTGCTTCTGGTTACTCATTTTGGTAAATAACTTCTAACTGTAGATAGTTTGGGCAGCTAGGGTATACATACAATAGGCGGCAGGCAACCCCAGTTTTTTGCTTTCAGTGGGTTGGGATATTTATTTATGAGGCCCTTATAAACACAAATCAACGTTGTGACTTTAACCATCTGACAAATGCTTAGAGGTGTTAGTGAGTTACACCTTTCTTTTTAGTCTTGTTTAGGAGTATAAAACATTATGTCATATATTTAATCTCAGTTGTTTATTGTTTTCTCTTAAAAATTTTCCAGTGCTTGATCATTTGGTTTCTTCACATGGGACTCTCCAACCGGCTCACTCTAGTGATCGTGCTATTCCTTTGAAGTTTCCATCAGATAATTATGCTGTGAAAAAAAGCTTTCCATTTGACATTGAGCTTAGAAAGAGGTTGTGGTTGTCACTTTTAACCTGAAATGGGTATATGCATCCATCTACTATTAGTGTGAACCATTAAAATTTTCTGTGGTGTGGGGCTTGATATCGGAATATTTAGTAGTGCAGCTTTCTGACATTTTGTATTGATTTTAAATTGCTTTTGTGGCTTTGCCTTCAACTTCCTTTGACCAGCTTTCAACTGTCTGCTTTTTCTTTGAGAAGAAAGGGTAATAATTGACTTGAAATTGCCTCTTTTTGACCTTTTGCTTTCAATTTGTTTCTACACGTCCATTTGGACTATTGAGATTGCTACAATATTATAATGTTGTCGAGTTTTAAGGTTGTACCAAATTTATTTGTATTTAGGGATATTGGTGTGCGTGTGCATTTCTTGGAACATTTTTATAGAAAATTGTAAAGTAGGTGGACCACTCTCCATCCAAATACTCTTTGCAAATTAGAAGTGACCTAAATTTTAGGTTTTTTTTTTTTTTAAGAAAAATTTAAAATAAATAAATTGATTAACTTTTCAAATAAGATAAAATGAATTGTATATGATAATTTAAAATATTATTATAAATCATATATTCGATATGATTTTAATAAATAATTATCGATAAAATTTAAATTTAAAATTTTTCATAAAAAAAAATTTAATCGATCGGATAAATAATTTATTGATATTTTAGGTTAAAACATTATTTCTGATATCGATTTTAAAACAATGAATGGGGCGAGGGTATCAGTTTAGAGCGGAAGCTACGGGTTGTTCCATATGGTCATATGTCAGAGAAACTCCTGGAAAGCCACATGAAACAAATAAATAAATATAAACAAAAATTAAATAAAATAAAATCCTGAGAGACTAGACTAGGTAAGCTTAGTCAAACTGGGTCAGAGTTTGTCGCTAGAAACTTTCTGCTTGTCTTCACTTGGGTTGCGTCACGTCATGGTCCCTCATGGGTGTGCTCGGCACGGATGCTTTTCTCTCCTTTTTGTGCGTTCGTAATCAGCTGCACCCAATCTGATCCTTTCATTCGGTACGTTTTAATTATTAATTGTTGTATCTGGGATCGTCAAATGCAAAGAATAAATTTAAGCCAGGCTTGGCTTCTGAGATCAAATCAAAGAAAGTTAAATTAAAATAAAAGAAAATAGTGGCTGATGGTACCTTGAGACAGAAAAGGAGAGATTAGATTCTTATTATTTAGAGTTTATCAACATTTATAACATAAAAAATGTAATATAAAATTTTTTTGTTATTCTTTGGAGTATTTTATTTATAATTATTATAATAAAATTAATTAATTATAATTTTAAAATATGTAAAATTTATTAAAATTTTATATAAAATTTATATTTATAAGTGATAAATTTTTATATAAATTTTTATTGTGAGTGATTTAATAATTGTAAGGTTATATATTTTATAGTTTAGAAAAATTATTATTATAAAGAATACCTTTATAATCGTGTTTGTTAGTAAAATTTTTTTATAAAAATATAATATTTTTGTGTTAAATGCTATAATTGTTAATTAGGATTTTTTTCTAACTTTTGAAACTTTTATTCTAACTTTAAGGACAACTAGTATTTTAGATTTTAATTTGTATTCAATTCTATTATATATATAACATATTTTTACAAGGCTTTTAAATTTATTTTTTTACTAATAAAAAGAATTAACTTTATAAGCAATTAATCATTATTTATTTGAGTTTTAAATACTTTTTTACTACTTATTTTTTATATCTAATAAATTGGCTGTATTATATAATTTTTACTTTTTTAATCATAATTTTTTTGGCCAATTTTGTTTGAATCATAATTAAGTGTCGACCACACCAAAACAAGAATTCCAGCTTTGCTCTTGTCTACAGGGATAATCGGGTTTCGAATTGAAAAGGACATCTTTATCTTTCATTAAAAATTAAAAAAAAAAAACCCATGTGCTCAAAAACAAATTAAAGAAATAAAGAGTGCTATTTTTGTAAATTGATGGTTGCATTGTTTAGCCATGGTCCAAAGAGCACTCCCTCGGCGAGTAAATCGCCGCCCAAATCTGCTCGCACTCACTCACTCACTCTCTTTCGGTCTTTCTTTTTTCTCTCTTTACGGGACCCACCAACCTTAGCATAGAGAATCCGAGACAAAGCTCGTTTCTTTCCCCGGTCTAGGATCCATGGGTCCCACTCCTCCAAAATCGAATGGTCCAGATAGCGCTATCGCTACTCTCCGTTCGACGGCGGCGATTTGTCACGCTTTTGTCTTGCCTTTTTCTCCGTAAATAAATTTATATAGATATTTCGCGCCAATCGTATAAACGAAACATATCAAAAGACAATTATACCCCTTTATCAAATATATCGTGAACCTGCAAACCCTGACTAAGGGGTAGTTTCGTCCTTCGGTAGAAACATTTGTAGAAAGCTTGACATTGGGTCCCATCGTAGATTCAAATCCATTGGTTCAGACCTCATCGCCGCCTCTCAACTCGCAAGTTCGTGGGCTTCGACGGTGATGACGATTTTTTAATTTTTTAAAAGAAAATTTAAACAACATTTTGAAAAAGAAAAATAAAAGAAGTTTATATATGCCGTAACTTTCACGCTTATCTATTTCCGTCTACTGAAAATTAGAAAGACATTAAAGGCCTCAACCTTTTGCACGTCTTCAATTTGGTCCTTTATTCGTTTCATTTTTCATTTTCCAACAGCAAACCAAACATTTCGGCCCCCTCAAAAAAAAAAAAAAAAGCAGCAAACCAAACATTGCGGTTAATAAAACTGAAAGAGGGTAGTTGCATTTGCTGCTTATGTGGGTAATATTGTCTTTTCACTCACAAACAAGGGGAAAATTTATTATTGGTGCACGATGAGAGAGGCTTACTTGAAAGCATTTGAAAATTTTACAATTTCTGGTTTTCACATTTGAAAAGAAAAAAAAGAGATCCGAAATTTCCCCTCACATCACTAAAAGGAAGAAAGAATTTTGTTATTTTTTAATAATCAATTTGGAATATTTTCTAGATTTCTCCTTTTGGTTCTTTATAAACACTTTTCCAGTTTCCACAAGAAAAGAAAAAGAGAAATTTCTCTCTCATTGCACTCTCTTGGTCATCATCATTTTATTTAAAATCAAACATTTTTTTTTGAAAGTCAGACGAAATTTGGTTTGATTTATGCCAAGAAACTAAAAAAATTCTTTTGTTTATTTTTGCTTTTGGTTTTTGATTGTTTTGATAAAAAAGTAACGGTTTTACAAAATTCTGTGCCACCACCACCGATGCCGGATAATCGGCAAGTTCAGAACAATGCTGTGTCGAATAAATCTGCCGATAACATTGAAGGTAGCACCGATTCTTTCTACCCTCTCAGTTACTTCAAATTATACAAAGATCTGATGGCACTTTATATTTTTCTCTCTGAATTTTATTAGAATTTTTCGTTGTGATCGTTTTCCATTTTGATCAATGTTTTAAATTCTTGTGAAAATAGTAAATTTCTACTCAGTAAATGAAAAAATAAGTAACTTTCTATATTTAAGTTAAAAGTTCGTTTTTTTTTTTTAGTTGGAGCATCTAAAATTTGTTTTTTTTTTTTTTTTTTGTAAATTATTGTAGTTATTGACTTGGTTATAAAGTTTGTTATTTCAGCTGTTAAATGTGATCCCTTATTTGGTGCAATCAAATTATAATTTTTTTTTTTTTTATGTTTGATAGATTGTAATTTTGGTTAATTTGGGGATTCTTTTTCTGTATTTTCAGAAGCAATTTTGCGGTTGAAAATTGATGATAATAATCAAGACGTGGGTGTTTCTAAATCGGCTGCCTACCCTGATCGACCTGGTGAACCGGATTGTTCTTATTATTTAAGGACTGGATTATGTGGTTATGGAAGTAATTGTCGTTTCAATCATCCGGCTTATGATGCTCAGGTAATCAAGTTTTTGTTTTTTAAGTGAATGTCATTTATTGACTGATCATTTCAATATATAAAATCAGTGGATTTGGATTCTTGCTTCTAAGATATATAAAAGTTACCCGCGTTGTAGTGGTAGCTTATGTTGTTATTTGGTGCAGTGTGACCAATATGGAGAAGAACTACCTGAGAGAGCTGGACAGCCGGACTGTGGGGTATGGATACTATCTCATTTTAGATTAGTAGATTGCTATAGTTTTACAAAATTACCTTTTCCAGAGATGTTTGTGTTACCATTTGCTTCTGGGTATTTTTTACTCTTGCTGAGATCAGAAAAGCAACTAATGTGGCTCGGTCTTGGAATAGGTGTTAATTAGATATAAATTTTTGGGACATGAACATTGAATGGCTCATTATTTACTTGAATTATGAAATATATAGCTGACATGAGTCGGAACTATATGTGAAAGAATGTTAACACGACATGCAGCAAAATTCAGTTTTCTGATTATGCTAGTCATCATATAGCTCTTGCTTTTATTATTTATTATATAATGTAATGTTGATGATACTGTTTCATTAGTGGGCAGTGGGGACTATGATCTTAATCTCACTAGTGTGCTAATGTTTTCTTTTAACCAAGTGAAGTGACGCATAACCATCTTTTTTATGGAAGAAAACTGATGTTGATGTAGCTTAGTTCATGGTTGATTTGGTTGATCTAGTGCTTAACTTTTAGACATCATGTTGATGTTGTCTCTTTTTTAATTTTTGTGTTTGTGTGTTTGATCAGAAAATATTTCTCATGGAAAGCTTTTTAATTTAGAAATTTCCTTTGATTCTGCTATGCAGTACTTTTTAAGGACAGGAACTTGCAAATATGGATCAACATGTAAATATCATCATCCAAAGGACAGGAATGGGGCTGGACCTGTTACATTTAACATCCTTGGTCTTCCCATGCGTCAGGTGCTTTCTTTTTCTGATCTTTGATGTGCTTACTTGACCATGTGTTGTCTCATGCTGGTGCTCTGTTTATCAGGATGAAAAATCATGTCCTTTTTACATGCGGACTGGATCATGCAAGTATAGAGCTGCATGCAAGTTCCATCATCCCCAGCCTGCATCCCCTGGGGCTGGCTTACCTCTAAATGGACCTGTTGGATCACAGATTTTGCCACCATCAGGTGTGCCATATGCTAGTGGATTTCCCACATGGTCATTACCCAGGGCACCTTATGTCTCTGGCCTGTGTTTACAAAGCGCAGGCTACATGCCTGTTGTTGTTTCTCCTTCTCAAAGCATAATACCTGCACATGGCTGGAGCACCTACCTGGTTAGTGAGTACTTCTTATGTTGAGTAATGTCTATCTGAATTTCAGGCTCCAATATAATTTGGTCATTAATCCATTATCTGCAAGGTGCAGTCCTTCCAGGGTTTGTTTTTTGACAGTGTATGACACAAAGTATATTGAACTGATTTATAAAATCGTGAAATTTAAGGATTTCACTTGTCCAAAAGAAAGCCTCATAAAGATACTCAAGCCTAAACATTGTTTTGATCTCCTTTACTGTTGATTAACCATACCTTCAGATTGCTAAATTTGATGTTGAATTTTGACTTCACTAGACATGAGAATAATGTGATGAAAGCAGAACTTGGCAATTTTAGATAATAAAGTGATGTAGTCTTGATTATTAAAAAGTGGTTTATGAACTTTCTTTGACCACATGCAGCTAAGACCTGAAGGGTCGATCCCAAGGGTTTCCTGCATGTATTGCATGTTTGTTTAGGAAGACATATGATGTGCTTTTTCTTCTTATATGCTGACGGCATTTTATCATGTTTTTTTCTTAGAGACTTGAGATGTGTATTTTTATCAGTCATCTGTTTTTAACATTGTAATTGGCTAATAATTGACATTTCTATGTTCATGATTTGGCTACATCCTTAATACTTCTGTAACATTTGACAATGTCCTTGTCAAACTGTTATGAATGGTTAGTTCACTGACTAGTTTTCACTGGAAGTGACTGTCATTGCGAATGCTATGATAAAATTACCTGGTCTTGACTCCATTCTTTGATATAAAATTCACTTACCATTTGACATTATTTTCTTTCGCATAAATACAACTTTAAGACACCTTAGATGTCTTCATCTTTGTTCAATTGTTGTCTGATCTGCTTGCTGTGCAGATCTGAAAAGGTGTGTTTTTGTGATGTTCACCGTCATTAGAAAATAGAATGGTTTACTTTCTTTTCCTTTTTGCTCTTCTAGTAAACTAGAAATGATTAACTGTGTTGCTCATACAAGTGACTGGTCTAAAACAAACTTAATTGTGTATTTTATGTGTAAGTAATATTTTTAGTTTTACAAATTTGTACCCATATTTTTTCACGTGCATGTCATTCACCTGTTCCTTGATGGAGATTACTAAGGTCTGTAGAGGTAGTTCATGGTAGCTTATCTATACTTGCAGCAATCCTATTGTGTAATTGCCTGTTCATTATGGCTTGTATTATTATAGGGTTTAAATCCTAAGGATGATCATAATACAACCAATCAAAAGTTTGTCATGATTTTGAGTCTTTGAAGTGGTATGTAATTGATGAACCCAAAACTTAGCTTGGTTCTTGCAGCGACCTTTAAGAGGTGGTATCCAGCAGGTCTAGGGTTTAAATCGCAGCACTTGCAACCTCTTCTCCTATACTCAGGCCGTGGCTTCCTATGTACCCAAAAAAAGAAAAGAAGAGGGATGTAATTGATTGCAACATTCTGATATCCTACATAGAGTAACCTATATGCTTTTGATTGCCTTGACATATGTATTCGACAGCATCCTGCAACTATAATGCCTTATGCAACATGTTTGTGCTTTTCTGGTTTTGTTTATAGGTTTTGATAATTTTTTTTTATAGGTGGCTCTTGCCTATTGAAATTTCTTTTCTTATTCTATCTCATTTTTTTCTTCTTTTCTAATTTAATAATGATCAGGGAAATATGAACCCTGTATCTTCTGCTGGTATTCTTGGATCCAATTTCGCTTACAACTCAATGAATCCCGCTGAGTCAGGTTCTAGTGGACAGGTGCTCCTGTCATCAACATCTGCTTCAAATTTTCCTGAAAGACCTGATCAACCAGAATGTCGGTATTATATGAACACTGGAACTTGCAAATATGGATCTGATTGCAAGTACCATCATCCAAGGGAAAGGATTGCAAATTCAGTGGTAAATAGTATTGGCCCACTTGGGCTTCCTTCAAGACCTGTAAGTTTCCTGTCTATTTTCACACGGTCAGGTATTTAACTAAATGTCCTTTCAGGTGAGTGACTTTGGATGGAGGAATTCAGATGGCCATTTCTAATAATTTCATCACTCATAATTAGTTTGCTCATGATATATATTTTTTTTCTTTTTGCCATATAATTGCATTAATTATTTCCTGTTCTTGTATATGTAGGGGCAAGCTGTATGTTCAAGCTACACTAGGTATGGACTCTGCAAATATGGTCCAACTTGCAGATTTGATCACCCTTATGTGGAATATCCTTATAATTATGCTTCAAACCTGCCTTTATCAGTGTTTGATACATCTCTCGTAACATATCAAAGGATGTTACCAACAACCCATTTGTCTGAAGCTCCTCTGCCATCAAAGCTTCCTGATTGGGCACGGAACACTGGTTCTGTGAGCAAGAAACATCAGAACTTGGAGACTAAAAATTCCGATGATCCACCTGAACAGGCTGCTTCTCCAACACTTTCTTTGCAGAGTTCATCAAAAACCTCACATGATTAAACTGATTTAATCAGTCATTTTGTCATCTTTTAACTAGTCTCTTTTGTTAATTTGTACCCTTCCAAGGAGTCTTTGATGATATGTACCTCCTGCACCCCTTTCACCTGTGATCCGACACAGTGTTATAGGTAGTTTGAATATTTTCTCTGAGCAAAATGCTGGGGGGGCAGGAAAGCATTTTTTTTTCCTTTTGTGGTGAATAAAATGCAGGTGAAAAGATGTAAGATCCTTTTTCTTTTTCTTGGTGCTGATATCCTACTCAGATGTTTTAGTTAAGCAGTTGGCAGCTCAGGTCCAATTTAACCAGTCAAGATCTGTTCATGGTTTGATGGGTGTATGCATTTCCCAAAGATATTGGGCTGTGTATAACTACTAAGAATAAGTGGGAACTACAAAGATTTCAGGTAAAGAAAGGAACTTTATTAGCTCACAAATAGCCTAAGGCGGTGCAATCAGAAATAAATCTGAGTAGCAAAGCAATTCAGATTTTAGACGCCATTACTGTGCTTGTAGTTTATTAACAATGACAAGCATACGAGAGATGTTGAGGAATATGGTGCTGCCGCTGAACCAAGCTTATGATAGTCAATTACTCAAAACCTTGATAGGGTTTAGTAGTTGTGATAATTTTAGACATCATAAAATGATGCCATATGCGAAAATAATATGAAAAAATATAAAAATAATAAGGAATAAAATGATAAAATAATAATAAATTAAGGTCATGTTTGTTGTATAGAATTATTGATAAGATATAATGATGATCATTTTATATTATATTTTATTTGTATTTAAATAGAGAGATTAGGATTATAAAAAGAATTAATATCCTCTTGATATAAAATTATTCAATTTTTTTAAGTGAAAAAATTATTTTTAATCAATGAGATTAAATTTAGATATCTAATTATACAATTTAAAATTATATTAATAATTTAAATTGAATAAAATTTAAAGAAGAATAATATTGACAAATAAATAAATTATCTTATTCTAATCTTTACATACATCAAATATAATATAAGATGATATTGTTTAATTTAATCTTATTCATAATATAATTTTATCTTTTTTTACTATAATATTATATAACAAACATGGCTTAAATTTTATATCTCAAAATTAACGAAAAGCTAAAACTGTTCAAGGATCTAAAACTTATACAAACCCAAAGGTTTGCCCAAATTTTGAAAGGATTTGAATAAAAAATTAAAATTTGTTAAACAAATTTAGGTATAATTTTTAGATTTGTTTAAATTTCGGGTCGAATTTAAACAAAAAATTTAAAATCCGAATTAAATCTGACCCAACTCAAATTTACATATATATATATATAACTTTTTTATTTTATTATATAGCTGATTATTTATATATAAATTAATTCACATATATATAAATTAAAAATAAAAATTATATATTTTTTATTAAATTTAATTTTATATAATTTTATATTTAATATATATTTTTTATTTTTAATTTATATATATAAATTAAATATAATCTATTAATTTAATTCAATCATATTTTTTATTTTTATATTATATAAATTAAGTTTAATGGCTAATTTTAAGTTTTATTTTTTTTAATTTGGACTATGAAAAAATAGCCAAAAATTTAAGACCAAAGGCAAATATATTAATTATCAATATAAAATATAAATCTAATTTAAATCCGATTTGACCCGACGCATGAACACTATCTCACAAAATAAAAGTATTTTTCATGTTTAAATTTCCATCTTCCTCCATTTTTAATTTTGAAAATTTTGAGTCCTAAATTTCCATCAATAGTATAAATAGAGATGATTTAAGGAAAAAAAAAACATAAATTTGAGTCCGAATATTCATCTAATTAAGAATAAATCGTACGGCTCAAATAATTCGGAATAACAAATAGATGGCCTTAAAAGAAGAGTATAAAATTCAGAATATTACATATTTGCCAAAGAGAAAAGCCAAGTCGTGAGACCTTTTCTCACTTTTCCCTCTCAGAAATCTTAACTCAGTGAAATCGAATAACTCGTCTTGGTAACTCAATAGAATGAGCTATGCAGCGATTAAGGAGCAGAGGCACCTCTCTTATGGGTTCTATGTCAGTTCCCCACTTGAAGAGAAAAGCCCTTAATTCTTGGGCTGCTATTCAAGATACCTACTTCTCCACCAAGGTACCTCCTTTTTCTCAAATTTTATGCTCTTTTTCTGGTTTCACTTTATGGGTATTCATTAAAATTTAGTAATTTATTGGAAATGAATTACCTTTTGTTATTTCAAGCTAAAAAATATTATATTAGTATGTGTTTCTCTATTTTTTTAAAAAGAAATTTAATATGAATTTTTATATTTTTATGGGTTTTGTTTAATGGAGATCTTTTTCCTTGTTAAATTTAGTGATTACTGATTTGAATGTTGTAGGATACATTTGAGAGGCATAGGGTGGTATTTGCAGTAGGAACTTCTATTGCTTCCGTTGCTACTGCATGGTTTGGTGAGTTTCTCTTCCATTGCATTTTCCTTTGAAATTCCATTTTCACTTTGATTCCTAAAACAAGGGGATTGTTGCAACTTGCAGTTTCTTTTTCTTTTATTGAATAATAAATTTACTGCTTCAGTTGTCGAGGAATCATCATGTTTGAATAATAGTTGGATTCCACCTGTTTATCATTACACTTCAGATTGATCAGGCGGAGTATAACTTCCTTATTTTTTTTGAACTACTTGGAACTTTTCAATTTAACGCCACTACCTGATATTGAGCAGGTTTCAACTTGAAAAAAATTCTTTTCTTTCACCCTTTTGAAGTAGCTAGTATTTAGACTTATTGTATCTTCTGCTGGAATATCAAAAGGTTTTATTGGAGAAAAGGAAAGAAACAAACTGTGCTATGACTGCTAATGCAGAATTTAGTGGACATTGTAAAGGATCTGTAAATTTTTGCGAAGAGATTAGTGGTGGATTGATATGGTTCTCTCCTCACTGCTCACAATGGACTTTCTGATTTTAGATTCAAGTTGCGATATCCTGTACCTTTGCATATAGCTTTACTTTGTTAGTTTGGATCTTCCATATCTTCATCATTTGCCCCATCTTTTCAAAGTTGTTTATAAATACACTTTTTTTTAACAAAATTCGTTATTTTTATTGGTGTTCTTTGGCTCGTAGCTTATGGGTCTGTGGTTTATTTTATTTTAAAAAGGTAGGCTGAAACCATAAAGATAAAAAACTTTATATTTCAGTCTTGGAGCTCCACATTTCAGTTAAGTTTTAGTCAAATGCTTCTGGGAGTTCCTATAGTGGTTGCGTGAGCATAAGCGAGGAAGAATTGATTTGCTGAGAGAAGCAAAAATTCATTTAAATCTAGGCTTTTTTGAAGCATGTCTCTTTGTGATTGTCTTGGAGGTTTGGTGTTCTAGTTTCTAATTCCATGTTCTCTCTATTTGCAGCTTAATTTACAGCTTTATCATGAATCAAAAGTTCATTTATGTGCTAGTGTTGATCATCTAACAAGAAACACATAAATGTTGGTACAGGATACTCTTTACGGCATTATCATGAATCAAAAGTTGATCAAAGGCTTGAATCAATTGAGAAAGCTGTAAGTATTCTTTTGCATAATGTTAAACTGTTAATGCTGTGCTTGTCTTATTTTTTTACTCTACTTTCCTATGCAATAAGGGGATATTCTGTATTATAGTTTCTTAACCTGAAGCTTATCTTAGACTAATTATAAATGCCACGGGCTATGTGGTTTCATGGAGTATTCTTTGGGATTTGACTCTGGATAATGGTGTAGCAGTCTTAATTCATTTGGAGTTAAGTTGTTTTGAATTGAGCTTGGTAGATGTGATGAGAGAAATGTCTCATTTTTTGTTTTCTTCCCTATGCGCTATACTCTCCCTTTTTTTGTTGCAATGCAATTGTCACACTTCTTGTCTCAACTTTGGGTAACATTTTTTAGGTAAATGGACCATATTACATATAAAAACCTGTTTCTAATGGGTTGTTTAACTGTCCTTCACTTTTATAGTTTTACTTATGTGAGTTAGAACGTGCCATTTGTTTGCATCAGGGATAATGAAACCTTTTTATGCAATTTTATCCCTTCTGCTTCTCTCTCACCCCTTTTGTTTTTACATTTAAATGTACTATTGCTTATCTCATGACAGATGAAAAACAATCATCATCTTGAGCATTCAGAATTCAAAAAACTTGTTGACCCAGGGCCTTCCAGAACTGCTGCTTGGGTTGCCACGGCTGGTACTGCTCTTGTTGTTGGGTATGTTCACAATGGTTAACTTATTACTGATAGATTCTTGCCTTATGTTTAACTTTACAATGTGTTTAGATTAATTGTAGGAAAAGAGAAAAGAATAGAAATTATAAGAGAGAAATGTGGACATGTGATGTGAATTGCAATTCATTTTCTCTCTTGCTGTTTGGATATAGATAATTGATCAAGACTGTAATGTGATGATTTTAAAAGAATGGAGTTTCTGACACAATTTTTTATGAATAGATAATATAAACAACATAGTAAATGAATTAGAGATGTTTTTCATTATTTTATGAATACATGAAAAATTAATACTTCCAAGAATGATGAAGTAATGCATCAGTGATGAGTCAGAAGTGGCACTAGCTAGAAGTAACATGAGATAGAGTTGTTTAAGTTTCTTCTTTTGCTTGCAATGGATACTAAACAGAGATCTTAGAAGTTGATAGAATTAGAGATGTTTTTCATTATATAGTTAATGACTGTGGACTGAGTTGCAGAATAACGCCATGATTTACATACTCTAATTGGCTTTAACTAGAGTCGTTATGGATTGGAGTGGATTTATAAGTAGTAAGAATGAAGATGAGTTAAGCAAGAATGCATCTCAATGGTAATCTCTTCCCGTTGCTTGTTGGTCCCAACTTATTGAAATAATGAATTTAATAAATCATGTAAAGACTGGTTTAAACATCTGTTTGAGTTGCTATGTTATTAGCTGTACTTTTAATTGGTGGTTTATGCTTCCCCTTGTCCTCATTACTGTCATTTTGACATTCTAATTTGAATGATATGTAACGCTTTAAGTTGGTTCTTTGTCTTTATTTGCTTAACTGCAGATATGGCTTGGGTTGGCGAGGTGGAACATGGTATGCAAATAGGAAGTTCAGAAAGGAGCAGTTGAAACTTCTTGGGCAGATAAAACCAAAAAGGTGGCAATTGCTGGGACAAATAAAACCTAGAGGGTGGCAACTCCGGTTCCTTCGACCATCGGCAAGATCCAGAGGGCCAGAAAGTGCATCAAAAACATCTGAAAAGACACTAAAGAACCCTCCTGCCTCATGCGATTCTGTGGAAGCCCGTCAATCATGTTAGCATTGACAATCATGACAGTAATTATTCAAGCTTTTTTGCTAATTAATCCCAAAGTCGCAATATAAATGAAAAAGAAACTATTAATACAGTCTTATACCAATAAGAATGTTTGTTTATATTATCATTCTTTGGGAGGAATATAACTTCCTTGTTTCTTGCACTGCATTTTCTCCTTTGCTTGATCCTTATGAGACTTAATGTATGCCACCAGGGCAATTTTCTTTCAGGTGAAGTTATTGGGGTCAATGTACGCCCCTTATACAAAGAAATTTTAGGATATCATTTATGCCCTCTCAGTGTAATCTTGTTTCCATTTAGTTTAATCTTTCTGGCACATAGATCTTGCTTTGGAGCTTTTGGTGTCAATTCTAGGATTGAAGTATTTGTTATTATTCTACAAAATAATTCTGTTGACTGTTCCATTGTCTATTGAGAACTGAAGATGACTATGATTTGAACCAAATCATGCAAGGAGAGTAGCTGAGGCAATTCGGATATATGTATAGTATTTATTTTATATCACGTATGTATAAAATACGAAAATTATTATATTAATATGTTAAATATAAAATATATAACTTTCATTTTTATCAAATTCATACAAAATTTTTGTTAAAAATATAAATTATGTTGTTTTGATATTTTTTATTATTTTTATGTTTGAATCATGTTTAATATTATCAAATCTTGTTGAAGCTGTTGATTTTTCATGTATAAGCACGAAAGGTTTTTTGTGGGTTTCAAGTTTTAATGATCGAAACTACATGTTGGCTAAGGTTGGCTCCTAATGGTGCTTTCAAAATAAATTCAGCTAGTGGGTTTTTAATATCTTTATTTTATAGTATTGTGTTTACAGTTTGGAATGAAATAAAATATATTTTACAAAATTATTTGTAATTTACAAATCTATATCATATATATTATGTTTAAATACGTAATATAGTGAGCAAAAATTTGGTATAGTTTAACAAAATAATAAGTTTGACTTCAGTAATGTAATTAAAGTAATTTGCTGTTGAAAATAAAATAATATATCTATTATTAAGTTATTCAAATCTACTATCGTATGAAAGATTATGGTTTCAACAATTTAATCAAGTATTTTTTATAATTGTAAATCAAAAAGAAAAATATATTAGTAAAGTACATAAAAAATAATTAAAATAAATTATTGAAAACAATTCAAATCATATTTTAATCAAATAATTATTTTTATGAATTACCTACGTCCATTCATGTATTATTTTTTATCGTTAAAATTTAAATATTTAATTAAGTAATAAATGTATTTATTTTTGTCAAAAAAGTGAAAAAAAAAATTCAAAAGTATCTTATTTGATAGATGGTGAAATTTTAGTCGTGTATAAGGGTGTAATCGAGTCGAGCTGACACAGTGAAAAGTTCGAGCTCGAGTTCGACTTATAACTCGCAGCTCGATACTCGGTTCGAACTCGATCAAATTTTATTTTTCAAGTTTGAATTCGATTCGTGATCGAATTTGAGCTACTCGAACTCGCTCGATTAAGCGCGATTAATATGTAAAAATAAGTTCGATTCGCATACTCGATAAGAATTCGATTATTTATGTTCGAACTCAAATTTGAAATAGTTTATTAATTAAAATAATAAAAATATATTTAAATATAAAAGTTCGATTAGGCTCACGAGCTACTCGAGTCGAATATAAGAATACTTGAATTCAATTCGATCGATAAGTCGAGCTACTCAAGTTCAAGCTCGACTCGATAATAATCGAATCGAATTCGAATTTTTTTCGAATCGAATTCGAGTAGCTTGCAAGTACTAATGTATCATTTATACTTTTAATCGTGAATGAGATTGAAGAGATTTTTTTAACTTTTGTTGTTTTATACTCAGGCAAAGTTTTTTTTTTTTAAATGTCAAACTTAGTATTTTTTTAGATTAATTTTATTTATTTATTTTTTAAAATTATCAATTTCAACATATAAGAGGAGAGAAGTTTTTGGGTGATGGAAAGTGGAGAATTTTTTTTTTTTTTTAATAATTCTAATGGTCTCTTGCATTAAAGGTTGAAAAATTGTGATTAGTAAATGAGGTTCATTGTCTTGAGTCGAGGAATCTGATTGACATCACAACATTCCAACATAAAAGCTCAAAATGTTTAGGGAAATAGAATTTAATAATATTTTTATTATTATTAATTAGATTTTAAAAAGAGGATAAGTAAGCTTGAATAAGTAGACCTAATTAATAAGAATATAAAATAATATTTTATTGTAAAAAAAAAGTGTTGACTTATTATCTTAGATGCCACAATTTTAAAATTTTACAAATAAAAATAATATGTTGTTAGGCGGTGTATAATACTTGACCCTTTCAACTTAGTTAAGGTAGCCAAAGGCTTGCTTAAGATTTCATTTAAATAATTGATGAGATTAGTTATGATGAAATTAAAAATAATAAAAAATTATTATAATTATGTTTTAAAAAAATTTAATAAAAAATTTATATTTAATAAATTATACTAATATTTAAATTTAATTGATGATATAATAAAAATAAATTTTAATAATATATTTATTATTATTAAATTAAAAAAAAAGGATAAGTAAGCTCGAATAAGTAGACCTAACTAATAAGAATATAAAACAATATTTTATTGTAAAAAAAGTGTTGACTTATTATGTTGGATGCCACAATTTTAAAGTTTTACAAATAAAAATAATATATTGTTACTTAACTCTCCTAATTTAGTCTAGATAGTCAAGGGCTTGCTTAAGATTTTATTTAAATGATTAGTGAGATTAATTTTAATGAAATTAAAAATAATAATAATATTATTATAATTATAATTAAAAAAAATTTAATAAAAAATTTATGTTGAATAAATTATATTAATATTTAAATTTAACCAATGATATAATAAATTTATTCACTCTGTGCCTTGAATGCCATAAAATTCGAACGTAGCCTAAGTGCTTTAGGCAGCGCAACCGATTTTCCTCAAGAAATAGACAGAAGTTTGGCCATCTTAGCGATCAACACTCCAAGTTCTATTTTTCGAACATCGTGCCAGCTTGTTTTTAGTAATATTTAAAACCTAAAACTTTTAATTTGAAAATTTTGTTCTTAATCTTGATAATAAAAGGTCGAGACTTATAGGATAGTTAAGAGGGAGATTTCAATTTCTTATAATGATACATATTTTCTATATGTATCAAAAATAAAAATAAAAGAATTAAAAAGATGGGATAGGTAGATTGCAAAATTCCAATTAATTACATAAAATTTCAACAAAAACAAAAAGTATACTTATATAGAAAATATCGAATCTGCTAGATATATTGATTAGTTTCGAGTAATGCAAATTAATTTGAGTCGTTACTTAAACTCGTCAATTTAATTTTAAATTTTTGTATGTTTTGATGTATCATATAATTATTAGATAAATTTAAATGTAAAGTTTAGTGTAATCAATTAATTCGTAATTGAAATATTATAATCAAATTGATAATTATATGTAATGTCAAATACAAATTTTTAAAAATAATGGGACAAATAGTATTTTTAATTAATATTAATGAGAGACAAAATGCTAATTTATTAACCATGTATGGTATAGAATGACTTTTAACAAGGTCTTATTTTATGTGTGACCTTCATACGATGGAATCTTAATAATTTTTATTAAGATTTCAACCCTTCATCATTATGTCATTATATAATATAAATTTGTATAAAAACGTATAAGATATAAGCTCTAGAAATAATCAGGAAATCTTGTCATGATCACAAATTTTTTGCAATAACAAACGAATTGTCACCAAAAATAATATCGACCAACACTAATATTGATTACCTCACCAAGATTATTATCTAGACCTCACCGTATGATTTGTTGACTATTTCCAGGAAGCGTTGGAACTGTTTCCTTGTTTATATGTTTGTTTTTCCAACCAAATTTTATTACATTTCTGTAATAAAAAAGCAACTGAACTCTGATTTTTCATGCACTAATATTAAGTGCGACATTTCCAATGCAGCTGGAGCTACATTTTCCGTTCAGTTTCTTCCGATTGAGACAGACGAAAACTGTCATAGGATGTCATTTTCTTTCGGCAAATCTGTTTGGCTTATCGACCTCTACAAGACAAAGTTATGGAGGAATTTCTTGTTAAATTAAGGAACCGTGGCAGTGAGGAAATGTTAAAAGGTTAATGCATTAATAATAAGGGAATAAAGGGCCCACTCGATACTTTGTTTAAACCAGTAGACCAATCTGTTGGCAAAGTGTTTTAGAGCTCTTTCATGTGAATACTTGATTCTGTTTTTATTTGGATTTTTGTTACTATAAAATTGCCTCAACATTGGGGTTTTTGAAGCAGGAAACATAAATTATGGAGGTAGCCGACAGTGTAGCATGTATAATTTTACTGATTCTTTTCTGTGGGTCAGCAGCTGGAAGTAGAACAAAGTTGTTTTCATTCAAAGCTCAAGAGTATGGCGTTGGCACGGCTGCATTGGCTCCATCATCTGATGTGGGTATTTGCAAATCAATGGTGGAGACACATGGCTATGATTGTGAAGAACACACGGTAAATGCCTAGCGCCTACTTTTTTTTCCTCTTCAGTTCAACGCCCAAAGTCTTTCCCAAATGCCAACCACTGTTTTTCACAGTTTAGTGAAATTTTGATTGGTTTATAGGTAACTACACAAGATGGATACATTCTCAGTGTGCAAAGAATTCCTGTGGGGCGGTCAGGTGGGACACCAGGAAACAGGCCACCAGTCCTGTTACAGCACGGGCTCCTAATGGTTGGTGATGATTCTGTCATGATGCTATGATTCTGATGCAATGAATTTCGACAAAAAATTGTGTAACAAGAACTTGTATGATGTCAGGATGGAATAACATGGCTCTTATTGCCTCCGGAACAATCTTTGGCATTTGTCTTGGCCGATAATGGGTTTGATGTCTGGCTTGCTAACTCGCGTGGAACAAAGTACAGCAAAGGGCATACATCACTCAGTCCTGATGATCCGGTTGTTATTCCTCTCTATACGCTGTCTTGTTTTCTGTTTTTCTGTTATGAGTTTTGAGCATGAAACTGATTCTGACGGGTTTTTAGGCCTACTGGAATTGGTCGTGGGACGAATTGGTAGCTTATGATCTTCCAGCTACATTCCAGTATGTGCACGATCAAACCGGACAAAAGCTGCACTATGTAGGGCATTCACAGGTAAATTTTGAATCTGCTACTTCATTTCCCATTTTCAATATTCTCTTAAACTAGCAACTCTAATGGTGAATTTGATATTCTTTGCAGGGAACTCTGATTGCTCTGGCGGCCTTCTCAAAGGATCAGATGCTGAACATGTTGAGATCGGCTGTTTTACTCTGCCCAATTGCTTACATGGGTCAGATGACTTCCCCACTTGCAAGAAATGCTGCTGACAACTTCGTGGCTGAGGTTAAACCAAATCCTAATTTGTTTATATGTTTTTATCCAATTTGAAGACAACTTTTTAACGATATAAGAATCTTGTTTTCACAGACACTGTACTGGTTAGGCCTCCATGAATTTGATCCAAGAGGGTAAGAACCCCGCCTCCATTCTTTGCCTTTTTCGTGTTTCTGCGATGGTCAGCCATGAGAATTTTAGTTGCTATTGCTGGATGAAATTGAAATTGCAGAGAACACTCCAAAGAATGACCATCAGATATCTATTATCTGTTTTCCCATTTACTGAAATTTCTATTCTATTTACCAAAAGAAATGATGGCATTTTTTTTATCCATGTTTCTTTCTTATGAAAAGGGAGGCGGTAGTCAAACTTCTGAAAGACATCTGCAGCAAAGCAGGTGTTGACTGCACTAACTTATTGACCGCTTTTACAGGTACTACTAATGCACATAATTGATTTATACTAATTAGCAGCAAATTTAATTGCAAACTGTACTGTTCCTGATATGAAAGTTTTGCACATCCATTCATAGGGCAGAACTGTTGCTTGAATTCTTCCATAGTAGATATTTTTCTAGATCATGAGCCTCAACCATCAGCAACAAAGAACATGATCCATCTGGCTCAAAGTAAGTATCTCTAAAATCCTTTCAGAAAAAATATTTTTGGTATAAAAATGTCTGCCGAATAATTCTGGGGTTATTTACCAGTGATTAGAAAAGGAACCATAACAATGTACGACTACAATGATGCGGTTGAGAATATGAAGCATTATGGGCAATCTACTCCTCCGGCGTATAATATGACCAGCATTCCAAATGACCTTCCTCTATTCCTCAGCTATGGAGGGGAGGATGCTCTTGCTGATGTAAATGATGTGAAGCTCTTGCTGGATAGTCTCAAAGATCATGACGGCGACAAGCTTGTCATTCAGTATAGAGATGATTATGCTCATGCAGATTATGTCATGGCAGGAAATGCTAAGCAAGATGTATATGATCCTTTAATTGCCTTTTTCAGGTTACAGTAGTGAACATAGAATAAAAGAAAATTTTCTATGACCCACAGTAGTGAACATCTTCATCTCTTGGACGGCCAGAATTTCTTGATAGTTACGATTGGGACAAAAATTAATTTTAAGTCCATCCAATTCAAAATCAAAATTCGTTGTCAAAATTTATTCATATATTTCCAGTTGTTTGATTGGTTTCTTGGAAACTTGACAGCGAAATACATGAGAAAGACCTGTAGGTCTTTTGTCCTGTTTATTTGTTTTGATGAAACTAAACTAAACACTTGCAACTTATCTACCAAAGCAGGAATATAGTAAACAACAAAGCATATCCCATCAGTTCTAACTCCCAAGGAACACATAAAACATGCAGGAAAAAAAAAGAAAAGAAATGAAAAAAATCACTGAAACACCAATTTCGTCAGATTTCTGTTCTTAACTCCTAACATTACTCAGCAAGTGCACAGAACAGATGCATAAAAGATGGTATTTTGAAATATTGTTACTTCAGATTTCAGATTACTTGAACTGTAAGATTACAAATATGAAAATAGATAATAGATGACCAATCAACCTTAAGAATCAACATGTCAAGGTCATTCTTGCAATGCTCCGATATCCAGTCTATAGAGCCAGAAATTCTGCCTATAGAACATCTTTCTGAATTTTCTGGAAATTGTTCTGCCAAACTAAACTAACCGTCAACTATTAGGATCCAAGGTAGAACAACAAAATAACATGGTTGATTCTTTAAGAGTCTGTTTAGTTAATAACTTGTTTCTCATAGCCTTATGGTGCTATATTAAATTATATCCCTCATTCAAGGGAACCTGAATGGACAGAAAGTTTTTGCTTTTCAGTGATATGCTTTGAACAATTTCTCAAAAGTTTTGGTATCCATATATGTTATCGTAGGCATATTCAGATTTGGTCATTTTTGTTTCACACATGAAATTTTCCAAAATCCCTTCCTCCAACCCAAAAATTAAAAAAGAGAAAATCTCTTTTCCAGTTAGACATGTATAAACTTATCGAATAACTGAAGAAACATGTTTGCTTGAGAAAATTTATTCTGCTATATTTGAATACTAAATGTAACAATGATTGATTTCGGCAGAAACTCAAAATTTTTTTTCTTGTTCATATCAATATTGTCATTGGCCATATCTACACATGGACATCAATATGTCAACAGAAGTCCCTATCAATCCAGTTTATCATCAAAACCATTCACTCCTAGTTTGACATTTACTTGTCCTACTATTCCACTCAGTTTAGTGCAACATAGGTCAACTAAGAAGGCCTGCGATTATAGCAAAGATTACTACTTTGTTTCACTTGTATTTGTCCACTATAAAGCTAGAAAAACTACCGGGTGGTGTAGTGGACTCAAGATGCTTAACTTTTCAAGTGTCTTAACCCTATTGGTATTGTTCTCTGTGTCAGCATATGCTGCAGCCTCTGAGAATGTGTTTTCAGCCAATGCTAAGTATGGTGTAATTTTACATTCCTCAATCAGTAATGATACTATCTGCAAATCATTGGTGCAGCCTCAAGGTTATGTCTGTGAGGAACACAACGTAATGACATGCTGTCTTCCATATATTAATTTCAGCTTATAATTAAGTCCTTGAAGTCGTAACATCTAATGACTTCAGATAAAGACTTCTATGGTTTCAGGTTACTACAAAAGATGGTTACATTCTTAGCGTGCAGAGGATTCCAGTTGGGCGCTCTGGTAAGACAGCAGACAAGCCACCGGTACTACTGCAGCATGGAATCTTAGTGGTTAGTCATCGTAAAACATTTCTATGCATGTATAACATGATGTATCCAATGACATAGCGTGTTGTGGTGGCAGGATGCTGCACCATGGTTGTTGAACTCTCCAGATGAATCTTTGGGTTTCATTTTGGCAGATAATGGCTTTGATGTGTGGCTTTCCAACACACGTGGAACCAAATATAGTCGCGGACATACGTCTCTGAGTCCAAATGATTCGGTTCTCTTTTATATGTACCATCATCCTTGATTGGATCACAACACCTGTAGACTATTTTGCTCAAGAGTTTGTTTCTTTTTTTTGTTGCAGGCTTACTGGGAATGGTCATGGGATGAACTAGTCCAATATGATCTTTCTGCTTTAGTCCAATACGTTCATGATCAAACTGGGCAGACGTTGCATTATGTTGGGCATTCCTTGGTAAAATTACTGTATTTGTGATTCCACCATCTGATCTGGAATATTATTTTTTTTCCTTAGACTTTCTAAAGCATATTAGCTGATACTAAGAAAAAAACCTTGAAATTTTAGGCAACTTTAATTGCTTTAGCTGCCTTTTCCAAACAAGAGCTGTTAAACATGTTCAGAACAGCTGCTTTGCTTAGCCCAATTGCTTACCTGAATCAGATTCCTTCGCAACTAACAAAAGCTGCTGCTCAAATGTATTTAGCAGAAGTAAGATGGATCTTTCAATCTATTCTTTTGAAGTGTGAATGCAGTTACGCCTAACATGAATCTCACTGTCCATTTCTGTTCCCTTTTCTTTGATTAACAGGAATTATATAGGTTGGGTTACCATCAATTTCCTCCAGGGTGGTGAGAATGAAATTTATTAATAGTAGCATCATTCTATGAAATCAATAGCTGCTTGAAATTTTTATTTCATTTGTTGTTAACTTTAGTCATTCTGGGGAGAACTTTGAGAGTAATCCAAAATATAAGATGATCCTCAGATTTTTAATTTTATATATCAGCCAGACTATTCCATGAGCAAAGATAAGCCATTGGTATCACTTATATCAAAATTTTTTCTTGACTTGTTGAGTATATTTTCCAAGAAAAGAGGTTCAAAATTCAAATTCTAATTCCCATAAGTAAAGAACGTAAACGTTAATTGTTCCTTGTTGACTTTGAACAGGGATGTTCTGGCCCCATTTCTGGAAATGATATGCAATAAACCAGGCAACAATTGCTCCGACTTAATGACTGCTTTCACAGGTCTTCTTCCAAGCTTGTTCATTAGGTCCTTTGACATGAACAATGTTATTTCTCTGCTGCTTAATGGTAAAGTCTTATGGTTATGACAGGCCCTAATTGCTGCGTAAATTCTTCCAAGGCTGGTGTATTACTTGAACATGAACCCCAGCCAACTGCTACTAAGAATTTGATCCACCTATCTCAAAGTAAGTGCCTAAACCATTGCTTGATCATTATTTCAAAGAAACCATTGTAATGTTATTGTCAGATGATTATTTTTATTGGTTGTTGAATAGTGATTAGAACAGGAAGCATAGCAATGTATGATTATGGTAGTAAAGATGAGAACATGGGACACTACGGACAACCGACTCCCCCACCATACAACATGAAAAGCATTCCAAAAGACCTTCCTCTTTTCCTTGGCTATGGAGGACATGACATGCTTGCTGATATTAAAGATGTGAAGACATTGCTAAATGACCTAAAAGATCATGACAAAGACAAGCTGGCTGTAATATACAGGAAGGACTATGCTCATGCAGATTTTATTCTTGGTGTGAATGCTAATCAAGTTGTCTATGATCCTATAGTTTCCTTTTTCAAGCTCCATTGAACTTGAAATTTACCTAAGAGAAGAAGAATTTGTATATGATCATTCTGTGCTAAAACAAAGCAACCTTTTTCTTTATTACAATAAATTTTTAAAACATATCATTTATAATTATTATATAATAATTAATTAATTATAATTTAAAATTATTTGAGATGATCCAAAATTTATATGAACCGTATATATATATTTTTTTGTTATTGGATTTTAACCGACTATTTATTCGTTTGATGTACACGTGTCACCAAAGGCGTTAAAAGCACGGTAATTCCATTTTCCACATCCCCATCCAAGTTCCAACAAATAAGAATTTTATTTCATTATTTACAAACGTGGCGAGCTGACGTGGTAGAATCTCATTGGCGAGCACACGTAGCTTCCAGTGAGAAGAAGGGTTTTTCTAATATGCAGTCTCGAGAGGCTTCTCTTCCAAGAGAGATTCAATCTGGGCGAGAGAGAAAAGTCACGAATTCCCGAGAAAGTTACGGAAATTTTAAAAAATGCGTAGATCGCGATCACTATTGTTAATAGCTTTGTCACTTCTCTTCACATTCTGCACTATCTCTAACGCTCTTTATGGACCATCGTCGCCAGTGGTTCAGCTCACTCCTTCAAATTTCAAGTCCAAGGTAAATTACCTTATCCTTCGCCATTCTTTTGAAAAAAATCGAAGAAAACAATCGGAAAGAAAAAGGAGGATCGAAATTTCTGTTCAGTTAAATGAAATGTATCATTTTGCTGGATCACAAGACTGAGTTTTGCCACTTAATTAGGATTTGATTATAAAATGCCTTTGTTTTTAAAGTATTGATTTTTCTAGGAATTAGGTCATTTCTCATGCGTAGACTAATGATTCAAAGAATTTTAATTCCATTAAATATTCGAGTTTTCTTTTCTTTTTGACTCTTTGTTTATATTTGAGCAAATATTTCAATTTACGGTATTCAATAGTCTAATAAGTTAATATTGGGGGAGGAAATGGATCATAGTATTTTCGTTGCCTGAAACACCTATTCCTTGAATTTGACTTTTGCTTACTTCCTTAGTATTTCAAGAAGAGAAATAGTCAAGCTTTTTGAGGAAATTAGGTTATTGATTGAGGTTTTTGAATTGTGACAGGTTTTAAATTCAAATGGAGTTGTTTTGGTTGAGTTCTTTGCACCTTGGTGTGGTCATTGTCAAGCTTTAACACCTACGTGGGAGAAGGCAGCCAATGTCTTGAAAGGAGTTGCCATTGTGGCGGCCCTTGATGCTGATGCTCACAAGTCCCTTGCTCAGGTTTGGGGAGTTTCAAATCTATCAGCCAAACTTTTTCCTTAAATATGAGATGTAATTTAGGTTCTGTTTTGTTGGTGTGCTGTTTGTTGTTCAACAAGCTGTAATAGTTTGCTTAGATTTCCTTGCGCTGTCTAAACTTCTTTTTGCCATTTCCTCCGCTAATTAGTGTTTTTTCCTTGCCGAAAACTGTAAATATATAAATGATATGAAACTATAGGCTATATAAATTTGGATGGTATTGGCATTTTAGCAGAAGTACCTAGTATCTGACGGGAAATTTTTTTGTCTCTGCTAATTTCTTCTGATTGCTACTCAGGAATATGGGATTAGAGGATTTCCTACAATAAAGGTGTTTGCCCCTGGAAAACCTCCAGTAGATTATCAAGGAGCTAGGGATGTCAAACCTATTGCAGAATTTGCCCTCCAGCAGGTTTGTTACAGTACGTTGGTTGATTGAAGAATCACGATTTTATTGGATCATATATACATTGTGGCTGGATGATGTTGTTATCAATTAATTTGAATAAGTTACTTTTTTAAGATTATTCATTCCATCCTTTCTAGGCCATTATCTATCTTCTAATAAGATAGGAGTGATCTTGTTGCAGTAATGATCTGCTTTAGTGCACTGTTTCACTTTAAGAAAAGAATAATTGTCATGTAACGATATGTTGCTGAATGAGAAGGGTCAATATTATTTGAATGTCTTGTGCCACACAACTGCTACTTTGTGTTTTCCCATATGTATTTGCATTGGACACATATCTCACATTCTATATCTTAACATGGTATCAGCATAAGTACAAGGAAAAACATAAGGAAAATTGAACGATACCTTCTCACTTCTCAAAAACATTCCCACACCCTGCAGCCTGAATTTGATCCCCATCAACTTAGGTCATATGCGAACTTGTATAGTAGAGTTTCTCATAAGGCTATACTACATTGGAAAAGTTGTGTTTATATTTCTAAGGTGGGTGCCAAACAAGGACATGGAGCAGATAACTGTCCAAGAATGTCATTTTCACTATCAAATAGGCTAATCACTCTTGTCTCTAAGAGATTTAAGGATTTGATACTCATTTTTAAAAAGTTAAAATTGAAGTTCATTGTATCACTTTTATATATTATTAAACATTCTTTCTAGCACTTGAGTTGAATTATTATGAACTATGATGAATTATACAGGTAAAGGCACTTTTGAAAGATCGTTTGGCTGGGAAAGCATCTGGAGGATCAAGTGAGAAATCTGAATCTAGTGCATCGGTAGAATTGAATTCCCACAACTTTGATGAATTGGTGCTCAAAAGTAAAGAACTTTGGATTGTGGAATTTTTTGCACCTTGGTAAGCATGCTTAATTGTTAATCTAGCACTCACCAAGAAATGGTACTTCACTAATATCAGTGTATATATACATGCATGCAAGTGTGAAATGTTGTTTATGTTTCTGGTGATGTAAAACATATTTTGATTCTGTGTTTGTTGTTAAATGTTAAGGCATCATGTGATTGTTTTCCTTATATAATTACAAATCCTTAAAAAAAAAAAAAGATTTACTGGCACAGAATTAGGAAGTTTTGGGTTCAACTCTATCTCTGCATATTTCAGCATGTGCTAGTAAAGTTGCTTAACAGTTAGAATAGTAAACTCTTTTAACAGCACCAAGGTTTTCTCAGGAATCAAAGCAAGCTAAAAGTCGATGGATACTGGATGATTCTTAGGCATACAGATGTCGAGGAATTTATTATGAATAGAAATAAATGAAATCTTCAAAATTTCATGATATCTTTGGTGCAGCTTTTTTTTTTATTTAAAAACTCTAAAAGTGGGGGTGGGGGAGGTTGACAGCAGCAGAACTAGTTAAAGAATAAGGAGTCAAAATAGCCATACATTTTAAATTAATTCCTCAACAATATGATATTGCAACCTTCTCCTTACAACATAATAATTGTTTGCTATTTTTTTCACATGTACGTAAGAACATATGGCATTGAACTTACTAAAGACAAGTAGACAAAAACAAGTTATATGCTTCAGTCTTATATGATATCTGTACATATCTCCAAACTTTTACAAATTAATTGCATTAATTTGTATTTTGATATAGAAAATATATATAGATTATGCAAAGGATATCATACAAAGTTGGTCGGATTAAATCAATCTCAATGCAATAGTCTATATAATTGGTTATAATATTTTTTAAAATAAAATTTCCACATAACCTATGCTATGTTTGCTAACATAGTTCTTTAAGTTTCTAGTTCTTATCTTTTCTGATTCTGGTGATTAATACTATATAAATACTTCCTGAAAGGTGTGGACACTGTAAGAAACTTGCTCCTGAGTGGAAGAGGGCTGCTAATAACCTGAAGGGGAAGGTGAAGCTTGGTCATGTTGACTGCGATTCTGAGAAGGTACTTTTTAAATATATTTTTAATTGAAGAGCTGCAATTCACAACTTTGAAATTAGAAATTTGTACAGTTAGTTCTTTCCTTAATTGTTTGTGTGGTTAAAGTTGATATTGCAAAGTGATGACCATCTGTCTTTTAAGAATGTTGTCATACCCAGAAACACTTTGTGAATGATATTTTGAACACCATGTTTCCACTTCATGTAAAACATTTTTAAATTAGAAAAAGGATTTTCTTTTTCCCGTTGTTGGAACTTTTGGATATATTTGTTTTGATATTGTTGTTTAATGGGGCATGGTTCGCAGTCTCTCATGAGCAGGTTCAATGTGCAAGGATTCCCTACCATCTTAGTATTTGGTGCTGACAAAGACAGCCCAACTCCTTATGAGGGTGCTAGAACTGCCTCTGCTATCGAATCATTTGCTCTGGAGCAGCTTGAAACCAATGTTGGACCTGCTGAAGTGACAGAGCTGACTGGCCCAGTAAGTCTCACACTCTCTCTTCAAGAAGAGTTCATTCTTTTTGGAACTATTCAGTTGTTTACGGAGAAATACAATCTATTCAAATAGGATGTCTTGGAGGAGAAATGTGGTTCCGCTGCCATATGCTTTGTTGCTTTCTTACCTGACATTTTAGACTCCAAGGCAGAAGGAAGGAACAAGTACCTGGAGATGTTATTGTCAGTTGCAGAGAAATTTAAAAGGAGTCCTTACAGGCAAGTATATGGAAGTTAGCATCAATGCTTTTCTCCTGTTATATTCCTTTATTATTATTTTTAAGTTAATTCTCTCTCTCTCTCTCTCTCTCTCTCTCTCTCTCTCTCGATGTGTTTGGTATAGGAAGAGTAAATTTTTTTATAATGACAATTTCATCCCCGCAGCTATGTTTGGGCTGCAGCTGGTAAGCAACCAGATCTAGAGAAGCGTGTAGGTGTTGGCGGGTACGGTTATCCAGCTCTTGTAGCTTTGAATGTGAAGAAAGGGGCATATGCTCCGCTCAAAAGTGCATTTGAGCTTGAGCATATCATGTAAGTGTTGCGTTGTCCTGAATTAATACTAAACTACCCGTGTGAATGAACAAAATATTGAATATGCAAAATTCTGTCTGTCTCAGAGAGTTTGTGAAGGAAGCAGGGCGTGGAGGCAAGGGAAATTTACCATTGGAGGGCACTCCTGACATTGCAAAGACAGAACCATGGGATGGCAAAGATGGAGAAATCATTGAAGAGGATGAGTTCTCCCTTGAAGAGCTCATGGGAGAAGTTACAGCAAGCAGCAAGGATGAATTGTGATAGATTGGAAATAGGGGAGTCAGTCAAGGCAAAAAGAAGATTGATGTACCGGGTAACGTGGTTGTTTCATGATTTGGTTTTTCACTAATTGGATTATATTTGAAGTGTCTGTTTTCCCATCGTGAAATGGAATTCTTGTGATGAACATTCTCAAGTCTGCCATTATTATCGAATGTAACCCTTCCACGTTTTTCTGAGTTACTTTAATATGTGGTAAAGAAAGTTATAGAGAATCAAGATGACCTAATCCTCTATTAACAAGGGATTATATTAACTATCACTCTTCTTCTGGGCTGGATCGGCCCAACCATGACCCAAAGGTAAAAAAACACAGCAAAAGCATTACATAAGATAAATGGGCTTATATAATAATAAGATCGAATGACTTTGTCTTTCAAATAAAGATCGAATGAGGTTTTGTTTTTTTAAAAAAAATTTTTAATTTATCTTTAAATTCTCTCTATCTTATTATATATTTGGTTACATAAGATATTACACATTTAAATTTTTTGAATCCATAACCTTCAAATATTAATTTTAATGACATATCAATTAATTTAAAGATAGTAAAAAAAATCAAAGGATTTTTTGTTGTTAGTAGAATTGTCTAATTTAAGCTTGTAAAACTCTTTTAATCCTCATAAAATAGAATTCAACCCAACTTAGTTTGATAAAAAAAAAAAAAAAAAACCCTAACAACTCACATTTGTTCAATTTAAAATTGATATGATTCGAACCTTAAATGAACAATTCAAATTGGTCTAATTTAAAATTTTAAATGATTTGAACTTTAACTAAGTTGATTTGAAAATAATTTTAAATTTAAATAATCTAAAAATCTAATTTAAAATAATTTGAGATTAAATTGATTTGATTATAAAATTAAAAAATTTGAACCAAAAATAATTTAAATTCTTTTCAATCAAAATGATTTAATTTAAAATGATCTAATTCAAACCTAATCTTATTCATCTGATTAAAATTGATTGGTTATGCGAGAAAAGGACAAGAGATTTTAACTTAGAGTTGCATTGGATGTAGTTAATTTTCACTTAAATTAAATGAGAATAAAATATCAAAAATAAGTTTTATTTTCGGACAATTGACCGAAACAGTCAAGAATTAAAAAATATTACACGTATTCAGGGAGGAAACAACGATTTAAGCAAAGTGATTTTTGATTGAGTGATATTGTAATGTAATAAAAAAATTAAATAAACTTTACTCATTATTAAAATTAAAATATTCAATAAAATGAAAACTTTCAATGTTCCCTTAGCTCCCAAGAATCCAATCACCTTTTTCTCAAAAAAAAAAAAAAAAAATCTAATTAAATCTTTGTCTTTTTAAGTATTAGAAGAAGAAGTTTCCTAATTTTTGGGAAAAGAACTCTAGCTATAATAATTTTATTTATTGATTTTCTCATCATTTTTGTTTTTAATTACCAACATGAAAATAAAGGTATTTCCAATGGTTGAATGTTTATTCCAAACGCTCCAAAGCCTCAAATTTAGCTAACCCGATTTGATTTTTAGCATGAAAGATGAAACGAAACTTAAAATTAATAGGTGAACAAACAAACCATGTCTTCAATCAAAACACCAAGATTACCCAGTTGGGAAAATCGGGTAACGTCGAAGAAGCCATCAAACTTTTCTCCGAAATGACCCATAAAAACACAGTAACTTACAATTCCATGATTTCTGTCTTTAGTAAAAACGGCAAAATCAACGATGCACGCCAACTGTTCGACAATATGCCTCGTAGAAACCTAGTTTCTTGGAACACAATGATTGCTGGGTACGTGCACCATGACAGAGTTGATGAAGCTTATCGACTGTTCGTTAAAATGCCTATAAGAGACAGATTTTCTTTGACTCTGATCATAACTTGTTTTACACGTATAGGGGACCTTGAGAAAGCTAGAGAATTGTTTGATTTATTTCCTCATGAGCGTGATGTGGCTTGTTGGAACGTTATGATTGGAGGGTATGGTAAGAAAGGAAGGGTTATAGAAGCTAAGAGATTGTTTGACGAAATGCCGGATAGGAATGTTGCTTCGTGGAATTTGATGTTATCGTGTTATACCCGGAATGGGGAAATGCGTTTGGGGAAAGAGTTTTTTAAGGTAATGGCGATAAAGGATGTTGTTTCATGGAATTTGATGGTTGATGGGTTTATTGAGGTCGGTGATTTGGTTTCTGCTTGGGAGTTTTTTGAGAAGATTCCTTATCCAAATGTTGTGTCTTGGGTTACGATGCTAAGTGGACTTGCGCGAAGGGGTAAGATATTGGAGGCAAGGAGATTATTTGATCAGATGCCGATTAAGAATGTTGTCTCTTGGAATGCTATGATTGGTGCTTATGTCAAGGATTACCAAATTGAGGAGGCTGCTAGGTTGTTTAGGGAGATGCCGAACAGGGATTCAGTCTCATGGACTACAATAATTGATGGTTATGTTCATGTTGGCCAGCTTGATAAGGCAAGGGAATTACTTGATCAAATGCCTTACAAGAATATTGCGGCACAAACTGCAATGCTTGCTGGATACATTAAGAATAAAAGAATGGATGAAGCTTGTCAGGTTTTTAGTGAGATTACTGCCAGAGATATTGTTTGTTGGAACACCATGATTGCAGGGTATGCGCAGATGGGAAGAATGGATAAGGCTCTCAATCTATTCAAGGAAATGGAAAATAAGGACTTGGTAACGTGGAACACCATGATCATTGGTTATGCTCTAACTGGAGAAATGGACAAAGCATTTAAGATATTTGACGAGATGAAGATAAGGAATGTAGTCTCTTGGAATTCTTTGATGACAGGTTTTGTGCAGAATGGCTTATCATTGGATGCATTGAATAGTTTCAAACTGATGGCAAATGAAGGAACAGTGCCTGATCATTCAACTTTTGCATGTGGACTAAGTGCATGCGCCAATCTTGCAGCTTTGCAAGTTGGAAAGCAGATGCACAATATGGTTTTGAAGAGTGGTTATATAAATGACTTGTTTGTAGGGAATGCCTTGATCACCATGTATGCAAAATGTGGAAGGATCTTGTATGCTCAAATCATTTTCAAGCATCTTGATAAAGTTGATGTTATTTCTTGGAATTCTCTGATAACTGGTTATGCCTTAAATGGTCATGGAAAAGAGGCTGTTCAACTCTTTGAACAGATGGTGTTAAAAGGAGTGCTTCCTGATCATATCACCTTCATTGGGGTTTTGTCAGGATGTAGTCACATTGGCCTTGTTGATCAGGGTTTTAAATTGTTTAAATGCATGACTGAAATTTACTCTATAGAACCTTTGGTTGAACACTATGCTTGCATTGTTGATATGTTAGGCCGTGCTGGGATGTTATATGAAGCCTTTGAAGTGGTTAGGGGATTGAAGATGAGGGCAAATGCAGGAATATGGGGTGCATTGCTGGCAGCTTGCAAGACTCATGGGAATTTGAAACTTGGTAAGATTGCTGCTAAGAAGCTTTTGGAATGTGAACCTCATAAAACATCAAACTTTGTCTTGTTGTCAAATATGCAAGCTGAGGCTGGTAGTTGGGATGAGGTTGAGAACATGAGGCTATTGGTGAAAGTGACTAAAGCAGAGAAGCAGCCAGGCTGCAGCTGGATTGAAGTTAGAAATCAGATACATTGTTTTCTGTCCAATATGCCAATGTTGCCTGAGACAGCAGAGGTTTACAGCAAATTGAAAGCTTTAACCTCTCAGATAAGAAGCTTAGATTGTGAATCTGACTTAGCATTTCTACTTGATAATTTATGATGGACAGTTTCTCTATTTATTATTTCTTCAGACAATTTAAGGTAAAATTTTCCTCTCTATTAGCTTTTTATATATAAGGCAATACAATTATCTATGTATTCTTCAATCTCTGTGGCTCTCTGTGCAGACTGTCATCACCAGTGGTCCAAGTCATTCCAATTTCCAACTTTAAGTTCATGGTAATCGCTCATCCTTGTTATTGATTAGATTTGACTTAGTCCTGTGAGAAAGTCAATGAAAAAAAAGGGAACTAAATTCTGTTCGTTTTTGGTAACCAAAGAAATAACAATCTTTCTGCAAACAGAAGCAAGAAAACTGTGTCAGCTTTGGTTGAATGAGATGTATCATTTTGTTGGATCACAAAACTGAAGAATTTAGATATTCAACTTGTTTATATTTTATTGTGATTAAAGGTAATGAGTTAATGCTTTAAATTTTGTTACTTGATTTGGATGCTGAAATCCTTTTCATATGTTGTAACTTGTTTTGCTTGTAAATTATTGTTTTTTGATGTAATTTAAAGGGAATTACTAAGAAAAGGGTGGTGTTTATTGATCTGTGTAGAACCTATGGGTTGTAGTAGTTTACTGATGGATTTTCCATCAATGCACTTTTCATTAGTGATTCTGATGGGGTTTAATGTAATGCTTTTCTCTGTCCAAAATGGAAAAAGGTCTCACTGTTGGATATTTTAGCTTACAGCATTAGACTGTTAATTGTCAGCAGGAAAATGGTTTTTTTTTTTCCCTTTCTATTGTCCTACGTGTTGATGCTCTTTATATCATGTTCCTAAATCTTGATCTTGTTGCTCAAGTTTTTAATTGCATAAAATACTTCTTTTAAGGTGTTCTACAATTACCGTCCCCCGAGTAAAACAAGGCTGCTAAGTAAGAACTTGAAGAGGAAGATTAATTGGTCATGTTGACTATGGGTTTATTTAGCTAGGTGGCAAAATGCGGTCGGAGAGCCTCACTACCACATCGATCCAACCAATTTCCCAAGCTGCGGCGAAGACCAAATATACTTTATGATCTGAAAAGGTAATGATATATTTACTTGGAACCAGAACATTTTCTCTCTTAAAGAAGTCTGTTTCTTCTGCCTTACAATTGACATTTACAACTTCGACTCATAAGCTTTTGCGGTTGATTTTTCTTGTTTGCCTGGTTTAAGTTTCATGATGTTCATCTTTCTTCTCAGGCAACTTCTTTGTGACTGTTTGCAACAAGTTACAACTTGCCACCGCTTCTCCTTTTGGGACAAGGGCTTTTGCAATACGTGAGAAATAAGCTCTGTAATAGAAACTTATGATAGGGTTTTTTTTTTTTTTTTAATTTTTTATTGTAGTTTAAATGGGGTGTGGATTATTTAGTTGTAGTCTCTAACTTGGCATTCAATGTGCCAGGATAGTCCAATTCCTCATGAGGGTGCTAGAATTGCCTTGCGATTGAATGCTCTACAGCAGCATGAAATTACAAATATTGTATAGAGCTAAGAAAACACACACTTGCCCAGAACGTGCGCTTGAAAAAAAAAAAAAGAACAGATATCTAGGCTCGGAACGTGCGTTCGAAATTTTTGATATGTTTTAACAGGGGAATCACCCTCTATGCAATGTAGCAACTCCAATTTAGAGCATATGTCAACCTCAGTATTTTTTTCTCTTCATTAGCCGTTTCGACCCTTTCTGTTTTCCTTCACGGGAAGAGCAGAGTGCAGGTTGGAGTGTGACAAAGGAAACTGCAACTTCTACAAACCGACGTTTTCTATCCGCCATAGGCATTCTTTTCTCAATGCTGAATCAGCGAATATAGCTCTGATGAAATCTTTCAACTACAAACAGTTAAAAAGAGGTTATAAATACACTGAACTATTAATCTAAACCATCAAGGGTTATCATAAGAGTGTATCAAACAATTTCATTGTTGAATGTCGCTCAATATTGCACCTTGCCTTGTTCCATTAATAGGACGCTAAGTGGAAGGTCAAAAGGATGGGAGGGTATCAGATATAATAGTTAAATTTTGCTGAATACCATGTGCAAGCTGCATGTTCTGATCATGATTTGCATCACAAAATAAATAATAAAACTATAAGAAGCAAATCTTTTTAAGAATATTGCCATAATTATTGTACAAAATGAAAAATAAAAGAATTGCAAAACATTAAGCTCAAGAGAATCACAAATCAAGTGCCACAGTTAAATCATACCTCTACTATTGTAAAACCACAGCTTAGAAGCTCTCCACTTTCCCATGCAGACGTGATGGATTTTAAAGGCATATCTAACAATTCTGGAATATACAAAAATGAAATACAATTAGGAGAAGCCGCATTTAAGCATATAATTGTCCTAAATTGGGAACATAAGAAGCCACGATACTACCATAACCTTTACCCAGCTCTTAACCCTAAAATAGCACCCAAGGCCATCCATTGTTTGGCAAGAAATCAAGTATCTACAGCAGTCAAGAGTTAAGGGTATGGGAAAAACATGCCTGCTAGTTTGCGAATTTTACGTAAAGATGGTATAAGGTCATCTACAGGACGCCTTGAGTCTTCTTCTGACTTCCCTTTTGAATTGACGACAATTAGAGACTTCAATAAAGAAGACAGGTTGTCCATCATTAAATGGATTAGTCTTTGGAGCTGTTCAACAAGTCAATGGATAAGATATGACTTAAATATGTAAAAGCTATGAAGACTACAATAAAGAGCAATCGATCAGACCTGTAATGTTTCTTCTGCTGCCAGATCATCAAGCAAAAGTATGTCTTTTGTGATTCTAGCGAAGACTGATTCTAGAACCATGCACATACTTCTCTTATAAGTTGAAGGCAGTAAGAGTGGCTCCCATATAATATGTACTTTCTCGAGAACAAAAACAACCTGATAATCAACTATTCAGTTTCACTGTCTGCGATGCAAGAGAAAGGCAGAGAAAAATGATGGCAGGGAGTATAACAACAAAACAAATCAACACTACCTGATCTATGCTGAATTTTGCAGATTCATATTGTTGCATTTGATGGGTATTTTGAAATCCATCAGCACCATCTATAGCCTAACAAATAGAAATATTAGCAAAAAGTCATTCACAAAGGCAAATGATACAGAAAATTGGGATAATCACATGAAAACTGCCACAGATTTATCTGAGTAATAATTCAACCATTATTCTTCAGTTAGGTCAATCATAATGTTTGAACTCTTTCCAGCTTTATTCAATGTAGCAATAAATTTAAAATGTCTATGCCACACCCATACTCTATTTTTAAACATACAAACATCTAACATAACAAAAAATTAACACCCCAATACTGGTGTCAGTAAACAAAATCGATTCTCAAAATAAAAACAAATTAAAAAATCAAAATAGTTCAAAGCAAAAAAAAAAGGCAAGAGAATTTGAGTTTTAATGAGATGAAAATTTTAAAAAAGAAAGTTATTTGATGGGTATTTCAATATTTTAAGACCGAAAAAAAAGCAAGCAGGCTGCATGCAAGAGCTGCTGGCATTGGTATGGTGACTAATCTGCCTACGTTAAGAGTTTTTATCCAAATATGCAAACAGGAAAAAGAAAACAAAAAACTGATGACCAGCCTTTTAATTGAACAATTTAAACTGTGACCTTGTAATGGAATAGAAACTTTAATTTGAGTTGTAACAAGGGGAGGTCTGGACATCCTGCCAAGGATCAGACTTGGGCATTGGGCCTCAATTTGTATGTTTTTATTTAATTTTAAGTTTAAACTATATTTAAAAATATTTTTAATATTTTTAATCATAAATATAAAATAAATGGGCGGCCAGAGCACAAGCTTAAGTTTTTGAAGATTTAACTGGGCCCAGCCTATAGGCACCTCCAGTTGAAGTCTAAACAAGACTAAACTACCATAGACTTTATGTAGTTATCTTCAAGATTTTCAGGCAAATATCAAATCCAAATCCAAATTGACACATATAGGCAACCCACCTCTCTCAAATTATAAACAACAATCTGGATTTGCCTATGCAATATTTCTTCAGCCATGAGATGAAATCTTGGAGCCATATCAGCAAATACAGCATATTCCTTGATGGAATCTGGAAAGTCTGTGCGGTACTGAATGAAGGTATCAAATACATTAGTTAACATCAAAAGGTAAAATAAAATAATAGAAGGGTACAGGCACTTTAGATAAAACAATAAAATAATAGCAAATCAGCATCTATTTCATTATTAGGAGCAAAGTAGTAAAAGGGCTAAAATATAAAATAACTCCATGTACTAAATTAAATTTATTACACAAGTCCCTATCCTTTTATTGCAATCAATTGAGCCCCATATCACTTATTTACAATTAATTGAACCCTTATTTGAATGTAAACTTTAACCTCATTAACTCTTTTGTTGAGATAGAACTACCACATGGGAAAAAAGATGTTGAATATCACGTGGCATTTTAGGCATGTGTTAAAATTAAAAAGATTCTTTTATATATTTTTTATTTTGACACATACCTTGGAAATGATCATTTTTTTTTGTTTTGGCACATGCCAAGAAAATGCCACAAGGCTTTATTTATTCCACATCATTCATGCCACATAAAAATTCTATCCTAGCTGGAAAAAGGAATAAACAGTGTTAAAATTTCCATCCAGATAAGAGCTCAATAAATTGTAGATTGGCTCAACTGATTGCCATAGAATAGAGGCTCATGTGATATTTGAATTACTTTCAAGGACTTATTTTGTGTTTTAGCCTAGTTCTAGTTGCAGATTTCCATCTATGATATATCCAAATAATGTACATGTGCATTTCATTTTGTTTCTTTCTTTTTTCAAGCAGGTTTCTACACTCTACATACCTCAAATGCAAGCCCAAGTATCTCTTGAGATAAGTCAAGACAATCGTTGTGCATGAGAGTAGCAACCTGGTTGATACCATCCAGCTGCCTTTCTAGCTTTACAAGCCAAAAATAAAGGTTACCAACATAGTTGTGATGCACAAAAACCTGCAATGCAACATCCATATGCAATATACCTGGCTCATACAGCTCTCAATGAAAAGAACAATGATGGAAAGTGAGCGATCAAATATGCAACAAGAACCTTCACTATATTTGTTTCAGTGCCAGACAAGATTTGTGAATTTAAGGTCAAAATTACAAGATGCATGTAATTAACCTAAACCACAACCAACTCATTGGACGCCTAAGGGAAGACTGGGAATCTCATAAACTAATAGATTCTTTGCTTCAAGATTGAGAATATTATTGTTTGTTTAGAAGTATGAAGCTTGTTCACTTTAAAAGGAAACAAAGAATCTTATCAAGCAAATCATGTGAGAGAGATTTCAGGAACCCAACATAATTGAAATATCAAGAATGCCCAAACATAGGCTAGGTGATATATAGTTGACAGATAATGATGCTTCATAATGCTTAACATGGCAAGTAATTTTAAGACAAACTAATCAGAATTAAACATTCCCATACAAGAAGTGCATATGAAACTTTTTAAGTTTTTGATTGAAGGAACATAAAAGGCACATAAATAAAATGGGTATTACATTTCAGTTGTGACTCCAAACTTCTGGTGTTTAGCATAATCATATATATATATATATATATATATTTATTTATGCACAAATAAAAACTTTGGTTGCTCAGAATGCTGTTTACCCTGAATGCATGTGCATGCACATAGGCCTACATTGACGTTGAGAGTGTGCACATCCAGGAAGCACACACTGCCATGTACATGAACAAACAAGTATCCAAGAAATCATGATGAGGTATCTTGATGAATTGTAACGTATAAGGTGAAGTTTAATCTAACTACACCATCTCAAATTGACAAACCTTGACAGGGATGATAGCTTCATAAAGAAGTATAGCATCTCTGGCAGCATGATAGAATTCCAAAGCAACTCTTGTGGATGACAAGCAAACATCCTGCAAGGTGTTGTGATAGATACAATCATGTTCTGAACTTTACACGCACAAGCCATGCCAACAGAAATGAAAAATGCATAGGATGCACAAGCGACAGATAATTTCAGTTAATTTAAATGAAATTCATACTTTAGAGACGGCATTTACCAAGAAAACTAGATTGAATTATAAAGACTTAGAAGTAACAGTAAGCTTTCACATAATTTTTAATATGTAAGAATATTAGGTCAACATGATGGGAATCAGGACTTCCAAGTTGCAATGGATAAGAAATTTCCTCAGGGCATTTCAAGAAGAAAACAGGAAAATTAGTGGTTCACCTGAAGTGTCTGATGCACTAGCTCCATCAGTTGGGAGGCTGCTTTTGATACCACACATCTCTCAGATGAAAAAAGCAAATCAACAACTTGTTTGGAAGAATTTATAGCCATTCCATCATTCTTCAATAAAGGGCCTTTGGAAGTGAACTCCTAAAGAAAATTTCATTAATTAAAACCAATAAAGCAAAGCCACAAGCCCATAAGTTTAACTGTTAGAAACTCACTTTAGGAACAGAGAAATCACACTGCAGGAGTAAATTTCTAGCTTTTCCCAAGATTTCTGTTTTCTTCCTGAATGCAAAGTGAACTTCAACATTTTCAGCAAAATTGCTCAACTTTTCATCTTTGTTATCAGACACCGATATGAACATCATTTCCTTTAAAGCAATCTCAAATTCTGATGTACATTTGATTATCTTCTGAAAGTCAGCAAGTTTTGAGGCATCTTCAGGGACAACCTAAAGCAAGATTCACATGTCAATTTATTACTAAGTAAATAAGGAAATAAATCCAGATGCTCCTTTACAGAATAAAAATACTGTGCTATCAAACTACCATAAACAAACAAATAAGTCCTATTGACACTGCACGAAGTTCCATCTAATATGCCTTTTGATTTTAGTATTCACCAAAATACTAAATACCTTTAATATTGGAATCAATAGTAACATAACATTTGGTACTGAAAAGATTAAAATATACTACTTTTCAAAAAAAAAAAAAAAAAACTACTCAGAAATGCAATCAAGGAATAAATAAATAAAATCAACCCTATTTCCCTCGTTTTTTTGCTTCCAAAAACAAGAAGGAAAAGTAGGTAAGCAGCCACTCTGTGAAAGAAAATTTCATGCACCATTCCAAGGTCAACCATTTTGCAAATACATTCAAAGTGGTTCCCATTTAATTCTATTTAAATATTCATAATATCTTGAAATCCAAAAGTTAAATAAACCAATTTTCTGCAGAAAAACTGCTTTAGGACTCAGTGGAGAACAATAACTAGTTACTGACTAGACAGGCAAAAATAGATGTTCTAGAAAAGAAAGATAATAAGTTTGCATGGTGTTCCAAAATAGCCACACATAGAAAGGTTGCAAAGTCTGAAGAAATCAATCATTACAATAACAGGAACCAAGGCAGTTCAAGACAGTGGCAAAGCAAGATGAAGCACAAATAGCCTTCTATTTATCTTTTTATTTATTTCTTTATTGCTTTGTTTTAAAGCTAGTTATGCCCTAAAAAGGAGAATGAACTCAGCCTGCCAATAGAACAAAAAGATATTTGAGCTTCCCAAGGTCTGAATGTGTAACACCATGCAATAGAAGATAGCCCTTTAACAAGGATTACTCCACAGCTCAACGCTTCCATCAAAACATAATTGAGTATATTTATACACCTTTACCAATAATTTAATTACACACTTCTTAAGGCATTAATCCCAAGTCTCCAATGAATTTTGTAAAACTACTTATTTGAGACAAAGTTAAAATGCATAAAACAAAGTTGGGAAACTAAAGGCAACAAACAATCAATAAAAGAGAGGTTAAACAGATTACTTATGCTAGGGCTATAGCAGTATTTAAACCCTGACATTTGAGTACAGATAAACCCTGATCCCATCTAGTATTAGCCATTAAAACTCTTTTGCTAGACAAATGACTACGTACAACCCAGCAACACGACAACCCACCATAAAACTAAAATGAAATAAGAAGAAATATATACAAACAAATCATGCAAACATCTAGGATGTCCTCAAGGAAAAGATTTCATTCATGACTACCTTGGATTGTACCATTTGAGCCTAATACTAAATATTAGCATATAATCTCTTCAAGGCACAAATTAATGCCTACACAACTAGCAATGCTTAAATTCTTAAAGGCAGAATCAGAAGATGTGTTAGCAGCTAATTCAAAGGTCATACTACTTGAGTACTTTGAGAAGTAACCCTAATAAAGCATCTCCACTTTGTTCGCAATACTAGCAAACTTCATGCTCCAAATAAAGCACACATATTATGTTATTAGTAGTTATATGTTTACAACTTTTATATAGAGTGACATGGATTCTCTGTATGCCTGCTTAATATTAAGATTAAGGCATAAATCTAAAGATGCCAATGGAACAATAACTTATTTGCTATACAAATATTACAGAAATCAATTACCGGACACCTATTCATAAACATTCAGCATTCTACAGTGATGTGATGATGTTAAGGGCAAGTAAAGTAGAAGAGATAGAATTATTAGTTTTGAAGTCAAGCATTAGAAAAACAAACCTTGGAGAGAAAGTTGGAGATAATAAGATCCGAGATCCTTGGCCAAGTTAACCTTCCAAAAGAATGAATCCATGAACCATTTTCAAAGCATATATGCTTGAAAATAAACCTGATAACCTGAATAACTCTAGCATAGATAGCATCACCGTCCACATCTACAATCTGAACGTTAGAGAGAAGATGTCTCACACCACAGCCCATAAATTCCTTTCAAGCAAAACTTTTAACAATGACAATTTAGAAGATGCTCTTCCCATCTAATATGATCCATGTTAAAAAAAATGTCCGTCCATGAAGAAAACGGGAAGTAATAAAATTTCAATGTTCCAATGGACACTTCAGCTTGCTTTATTTACTGAATTTATGTCCTAAATTAGTTAAACCAAGTGTAGCAACCAGCAACCAAGATTTAGATTATCTGTAGGCAGCAGTTACCTTGAGATCTTGTGAAGGTAATATCTTCAGTACAGCTTCTGTAATTCCTTCAGAACCTTGACTTACATCTTCTACAAATATTACAGGCGATTGATAGTTTACAGCTTCAGTGATGACATGCTTGATTATCAAGTCAGCTGCTTTAGCAAGACTATAATCCAATACTCCAGCAACCTAAAAATAACATGTCACATCGTCATTACATATTTAACCTTCAACATATCAGGATTAATTGACCACCCAACAACATAGACACAACTAATAGTAGAGCAAAATTTCATAATTATCTAATTACTTCATTATATCACCCATCATAGAAACAAAATAATTAAAACTTGACACCATATATAAGACTTAGTTGATCCATTCTATGAGCAAAACGAAAGCTAATAACAACTTACATCCATTGCTTCCAAAATTGTATGAAGTTCAATCCCGTCCATTTCATCAACACATAATCTGTATTTCACTCGAATTGTTCTAGAATCCTGCTCGAACTGAACCGCATAGTCCATGAACTTGGCAAGCAACTCTTGCATCTACAAACCCAAATCCAATTCCTCTAAAAAAACAAATCACCACTAAAATGAATAATACCAAAACAATGATATTAAAATATTAAACCTTAAAAATTAATCTATTTCTCTCTTAGTTTTCTCTATTTCCTCAGTAACCAAACAGAATCATACCTCATCGAATAAATCCGCCCATTGTTTCCTCAATAAACCATATACGATAGGCTCTCCTTCTTCTTCATCGCCAATCCTCAAAGCCTCCTTCAACTCCTTAACTTCCGCAGCGGCGAATCCAAACCGTCCATTCCTCAACGCCAATCTCGCGCCTTCCAATCTCTCGCAAATCCCAACAATTACCCTCAACAACCCTAAAATCTCCCTCTTTTCCCTAGCCTCCTTCGTTTTCCTCCCAATCTCATCAACCAACTTACGGATCTCACCACCGATCGGAGGATCGGAGACTAACGAGAGAATATTGGAGAGGTTGTCAGAGATTTCGTTAGTCTTGAGAACAATATCGTTGCACTGAGAGAAGAGAGAGGCAAAATCGTTGTGATGAGAAAGGAGGTAAGAACGCACTTTCGATTTGATGTGAAGAGAGTGCGATTCGAGGCGGTTGATGAGGAGGCGGAGATCGGGTGCGGAAAGTGGCGTCGAAGGGTCGGAGAGGTCGTGCCCAGATAGGAGATCGCGGACGTTGATTCGGTCCAAAAGTGGGTCCATTCCGGAGGATCTAATGGTTGTGCTAGGGTGACCGGAGATGGTTTTAAAGGTTGGTTTTGTAAGAGAAAACTGAAGCCTTTTGGTTTTGCGGAGGGTGGAGTGTCGAGTGGAGGTTTAAGGCTGCCGGAGCTAACGTGCGCCAATCGGGGTTGGTTTTTGTTATTGGGCTTCAATTTGGGGTTTTAAGACAGATTTGGGCTAATTTCTATTTGCAACTTTGCCTTGTTCTTGAATCTTGACCTTGTTGCTGTCGTTGGGTTTTTCTTTTTTTTTAATCGAGTTTTGAGGTCATCGTTTTCGGCTAAAGTAACGTGGTTTAATTATAATTATAAACTTTATTAAAAATTAAATTATTAATAAAAGTAACTTTATTCGATTAAATTATATAAAACAAAATTTATATATTATTAATTTAAATTTTGTGATTGTGATTAAGCCACGCCAAAGTTTTTTGTAGCACCTTCGAAACCAAATCCACGGCATCAAAACTCCCATTTATCGTATCGAGATTTATCTCAGCTATATATTTATCTTTCTTATCCTAATTCTTTGAATTATTTCAAAATTATTTTCTGATTTACAAACATTTATTATCATCTTTTTTTTTTATTGCCATGAAAGCTTTGTATTGTTTAATTTGATTGTAAATAGTGAACTTCCCTTTAAAAGAACTCTTGTCATTCCTTTAAACATATTAAACGTGTGACAAATGCAATTGTGAGCTTCATTTCATCATTATGGGAAAGAATTTGACGCAATGATCCTCTTAATACTGGTGAGCAAAGTTTAATTTTAATTTAATTATAAGGAAAAAAAAAGGGTGATTATAGAAATTGGTTGAACACATACCAATATTATCAATGAAAAAGTAAATTTTTTTAAAAAAATTTCTTACGTTGATATATTTAAATTTTAATTAAAAAATTAAAGTGAAGGGGGGGGGGGAACAAATAAAATTTTCATCCATTTTTACAAGGTAAATTATATAATTAGTCATTTAGCTTATAGTCATCGTATTTTTTAAAATGCTCATTAAATTATTAAAATTTGAGTAAGTACATCTAATTGTTAACTAGATCGGGTAATTCATGTTTTTATATCCTTTTTCATATTGTATTTGATACGTGTAATAATACGAATTATTAAAATATGAATATGATACGAATTATAAAACATGTTTAAATCATAAATACAAACACGATATGTTTATTATTTATATTATAAGCGATACGATATGATTAACATGTATATAATTAATCCGTTTAAATATAATATGAATAAATATAAATAACACAAATGACATTGATTTATATGAATAAACATAATATACATTAATAATACTATAAATACAAGCCAAACTTCAGCTTTAGAGTATTCAAAATACAAGTGAAACACAAATACATACAACATGTCATTAAACTTCAAACTTCAAACATTATATATAATTCAACACATACTACCTTACTAGCTTCAAAGTACTCAAAGTACAATAATAATTTAAAAGCTATTCAATGAGTCAACATGACTCAACAAAATTAACTTGAGATGAAGTAGAACAATTTACTAAAGAAAAACCATATTTACTAAGATCCAAGTTAATGACGCCATCTATCATCTCATCTAAGCTCTTATCAGTAATTTTTTTAAATAACCAAATTTACAACAAACAATAGTCTCCACAATTTCTAACTTAAGCTACGATATTAGTCAAGAACCTTATCATCAACACTAAAAATAAATTCAGATGCTACTGTGGAAACATGAATACTCATGATATCTTGTGCCATACCAGTAAGCTCAGGATACCGAAATTGATTTTGCTTCCAAAATTGCAAAATATCCAACTCTTATGTCTTATCAAGCTTTTGTTCTTCTAAATATAGCTCTAATTGAGATTTTCTTACAGTAACAACATTCTCAATGTCAAAAGTGTCAAATTCCTAATTAAAAAATTCAAATATATATGAATTTACAACAAAACATTACAAAATAAAAAAATAATAAAAAATTAAACTTTAAAATAAGTGAATTACCTCTCAAACATCCTTTTTACGTGAACTTTTAACTATGCTAAATCCCTCATCAATAGTTAACTCATTAGAATTATTAGAAACAACTAATGATGAACTACATAGAAGCCTTGATACCATCAGCATATTCATCATAAAGAGAAAATACATTATTTATGACTGTTTTGAACTTTATAGAATCATTCCCATAAAGCTTTTTATAATTCCAATACACAAACTATTATTTATAACGAGAATCCAATATCATAATTATAGCTAAAATTAAACTAAATTTAGACCTATACTTCTCAAACTTATAAAACATCATTAAAGCCATCTTTTTAAACTGTACATCATTTTCATTAATGTGATCATTCAAGGTCAAGCATGCCCAATGGACTGAAGGGAAAAATAAATTGACAGTAAGGTATTTTGTTCCAAAAAACACACAAGTAATGTCATAAAAAGCACTTTAGAATTGACTCAATCTTTCAATTTTATCCCACTTGGATTTAGATGAAAAATTCTTATAATTTGAGTCATTGATTTCCAAATGAGAGAAAGTCATACGAATGTAAAAGGCACTTTAAAGCATGAGATGTGTGGAGTTCTACCTAATTGGAACATTTTGTCTTAATCCTCTATTTGCATTTAAACTAAATAGGTTCACACATTTCAAAGATTTTTGCTTTTTAACTTTAGACCCTTTCATACACTTAATACTTTTTCTCATTTTTTTTAACTCATCAACCTCTTTCAAGCCATTTTAGACTATTAAATTCAGAATATGAGCAGACTCGATAATTTTAGACACGAACAATGATACAATACGAAAACGTCATGAAAAAAATTGTATGTGTTTTGAAAAAATATGTTTTATATTTATTTGTGTCAACACGAATTTTAACACTACACAATTCGTGTCTTATACATATTGATACGTCTAAACACGTGTAAGACATGAAAAAAATGTTTAAAGAAAATATGTCATACGAGTACACGTTTAATACGTGACATGATATGAAAATATATTTAACACATTTTTTATATTTATTAATATAAACATATAATTTATTTTAATTTTTAATCTTTTAATTATGATAATAAATTTATTTTAATTTTTAATCTTTTAATTATGATACTTAATTAGCTATTTAATATACCATATAAAGATTATTTTAAATATTTAATTATGATACTCATTTAATAACTATTATAAAATTATTTTTCATATTATTAGTATAAATACAATATAAATAATAATATTAGTATGATACATCATTATTTTATTTTTTATGTTTAGTAGTTCATTATTTTGGATTTGGTATTAAAAACTAATATAGTTATGTATACATTTGTCTTAAATGCATATATTAAAAAATATATATTAAAGTTAAATATATATATATATATATTAGTAATGTATATATTAAAATTTAAATATATATATGTTAAATGCATATCAAATGGGTCTCAATTTATACTTTTTAAATATGCAAGTATTTTTTATATTAGTAATGTATACATTACATATATAAATCTCAACATATTAAATATATATTATTCTTTGTAACTTTTTATAATAAGATTCAAAAATAATTTTTTATTAAAAAAATAATTTAGAATGATAATACACATTTAATTATTAATAACAAATAACATCTAACGACTAACAATATGGTCATTGATCAAGCAAAGTAAATCCAAATAACATAAATACATAATAATATATTATAGTGATAATAAATAATATTTATAATGATAAGAAACTATATGATAATCTTAATAACATGAATGATGATATGTGATTATTTTCAATTGTAAGAGTTAAAATAAGATATTATACATTTGAAATTAAAAATAATACATATTCTAAATAATATGTGTAATGCTAAAAAATTATATAATTTATTCTATACTACATGATACGACATTATTAAAAGGTAACTTATAAGTTATTACTATAAATATACATCTCAATCACCTATTTTAAATACTTTATTCTAAATCACATGACAAAAGATTTTATATTTGAAATTAAAAATAACATATTTATTTTAAATAGCATTTATAGTGATAAAAGATTATATAATTTATATTTCTATATCACTTGATAAAGTATTAATATAATATAATGTATATACTCATCTTAATGACTTCTTTTATATATTTTATTCTAAAATCTAAATCGCATCATATGATACCCATATATAATTATAAGAGATTATATAATTTATTTTAAATCATATGTATATGAGTATATTGTATATCTATGATAATTAAAATATGTAATTTATTTTAATCATATTATAGCGTATAAAAAATTATTATAAGTAACATAAATATATTAATTTGACCTTTTAAATATATATTAATTTAATATTTTTTTAAGAATTGTAACAAGTCATTTAGACCTTTTACAAATAAATCATCTAATTAAATAATCACTGAAAATATATGATAATATTTATATATTAAAAAAGAAATAATTCTAGTATATATATTAATATTATGTATAAAAAAACAAAAAAGTAAAAATATAAAAAATAACTTTTGAAATAAACTTTTTTTCTTATATATAAAATATATGATTATTGTATATTCATAATTTATTCATATTTTTGTTATTTATTTTGAATTAAAAATTACTATAGTTTCTTACTTTCTTACCTAACCAGTTACAAGGTTGATTTTTATTACCCTTAGTATAAAATTACTAAAAAAATTAATCAAACAAAATCTAAATTAAAAAAAAGGCAAGCAACAATCCTAGTTTGAAAATTAAAAGTTATTTCTAGAGTTTTTAATATACCAATCTGCTTTTATTATTTAACAATTAATATGCTTCCATTAAAGGCACAAGTGCGGAAGGTTAACCTTGAAAATATTTTTTCCCCATTTCACTTTCATATTTTCACTATTTCGTTTCAGACTTTCACCTACAACTAGTTAGGTAGACACCAAATAGCAATCTTTTTTTCTCTTTCAACTAGCAAGCTTGGCAGCCACCATTTATCTTTTGCCCACTTTTGTTTCCTTCCTTAGGTAACCACTACTCACATTTTGCCCACCAATCACAGTCAATCAATCTATCGATAGGGTTATTATGTCCCTTCCACAACATTTTTCCTACCAAAATACTGAGGTAATTTTCAATTCGACTTTTTGTTGTAAAAGTTGATTACATTCTTTAAAGATGGTAGATTATTTTTGTTTAGATTGTAGCAAACACCAATATTACGAGCATTTGCTACATATGATAGATCAACTAAC